TATTAAATCTATTTGACTGTGAGAGATATAGGGTAGTCCCATATACATCTTTCTGTGTATAGTGCTTGTAACTTTACGACGAATGGGCCAAATTTCTTATCATTTTGATGATTCCAGAACCTTGCAGATGCTAGATGCTAGATGATCAACCTTTTCTGATCGATTCCACAACGTTTCTTTCACATCATAGTGTAATTAATGTAATTAAGCCATCCGTTATGGCCCGTAATCTTGGTGTTGTTATGGATTCTTCCCTTACTTTGTCTAAAAATGTTGATGCCATTTGTAAATCTGCTTTTGTAGCTATAAGGAAAATAGGAACAATTCGTAGGTTTCTCGACCAGAATACAGCCCATTGTCTTATTAAAAACTTATCATGGTTTCGCTCCTTCATATCTTTCTGAACTTCCTTCCTCGATACACTCCTGTCCGGACTTTGCGATCTGCTTCTCAATCTCTCCTCTCTCGGTCTCACACTATTTCATACAAACAATACGGTCAACGTTCTTTGTTTATGCAGCTGCTTTTCTTTGGAACAATCTCCCCCTTCAAATTCGCAATGCTAGCTCTGTAAATTCATTTAAAACAATGCTTTAAACACATCTCTTAAAGTCTTGTTCCTGAATAGCTCTTTTGACCTTTTGCCTTTTAATATATTTTGTGTAGATTACCGTAGGATACTATTAATTTATGAACTATTTGTATTTTTTTTGTAAGTGATTTGTAATTATGTACATGTATTATTTTCATTTGCAAAGTTTTAATGGTAATTTAAATTGATGTAATTTGTAATGCAAATTTTTCCTTTACTTATCAGCTATTTTCTTCTAAACCGCTTAGAGGCAATTTGCAATTTGCGGTATACAAATATCTTATTATTATTATTATAATGCAATCGCATGACCATAACTGGTCTTTACCTTTAACTACTTTGAGGAGCTTTAACCTGTTAATAATTAATAAGACAAAAGTTTGAGTGGTACTACTCCAAATGTAACAATGAAGTGAAATGACACCATACATCAGAAAACAAATAACATTACATTTAAGGGGTATACCTTCCTACAGTCAATTTGGCCATGTGGCTCAAAATCAGTCAAAACTATGATTGTTTAAAACCGGGTGAAATATTTCTTTCAAACTATATCCTACATTCTCTCTGAATGTACACGAGTGGAAAATTGCTTACAAATGTGACCCCGTATACTTATATTGTTATTACCTGTGACACCCATAAATACTAAGTAATGTTTTTAATGAGTATAAGTATAAGCATTGAAATCTTTAAGTTGGCAATACTTGGTGGAGTATTTAAATCATAATATGTAAAACCAGTTTGCCCGAAATTGTATTTCACTCTGTAATGATACTGGTAACTGGTTCATTTGAGATACATTTCTTTACATTGTAATAATGGGAAAAATACAATCGTGCCAATTTGAGGAGGCAAAGTATATCAGGGGGGTGTTTCACAAAGATCCTAAGTCGAACTTAACTCTAAGTTGAACTTAAATATAATATGGAAAGGCATTTGTAGCTTTAAGATAAAATATATTCAACCAAAATTTTCAAGTGTTTTAGACTTTTCATAAATTACACATCAAGAACGTAACATCTCCTTGATAATAGAAAATATGAATGATCATGTTCTGCCTTTTAAAATAACTTCTACAAAATATTTTCAAAGATGCTAACGGCTTTCCATAACTTTCAAGTCCAACTTAGAGATAAGTTCAACTTAGGATCTTTGTGAAACACCCCCCTGATGTCTGAAAATCCGCCGGTCCTTTGTGCTTTTAATGGATTCTTAGATAGGTACTCACATTCTCAACAAATTCGTAGCCTACAAACAGCATTATCCTGCAAAAGAGTATGTACGTTTTATTCAAACAATCCTTAATTTCCCTTTTATAATCCAAAAAGTCTATATATAATGATAATGAACGAATGGGTTTTATCTGATGGGCAGTGTTTTAAATACACAGTATCAACCTGATCAAATATTGGGAAGTCCAGTAATCTGGAGGCTACTATTGTATAAAAGGACAAAAATCCGCGATAGCATTGTTATCTTTATCAGTTCTTCTCATACAGGTATGCGGTACTGATAGTAGCGAATGAATGATGTTGTGCCTGGGGTACAAGAATGTGTCAAATAGAAACAAGGAAGCAAGTATTTAAAAAAAAAATATGGCTAAATATGGCAGGGAAACGTTGAAGGGGAAGGGTGCACACGTTTTGTTTGATGGGGTTGCCCGCGTGCATCAAATACGAACATATTTTGACCGGGGCACGTGTCCGCAACGCCCCTCTGGATGGGAAACTTAAAGCCCCACTGCACTATCTGTCTGTTGGTCTCCATCCTCTTTTATTTATGTTAATTGAGAGCTGATTTGATCAAAATACCACCTGTCAGTGACCCGTGCAGGTTGGTCTAATCCCCCCTGGCCAAACTAGTACAGACTGGCTTTAACATAATAATTATGTTCTACCCTTTGACCCTCTTTGTTTCTTTTTAAATCGTTTGAATATATTTCAAGGACTCTACATAATTACATACGGAACAAAAGCTTGGATGACTAGTTCCAATTATCGTCGTGATTTTAGACAGGAAATATCTTAATGGTCACCCCATGTTCAGAGGGTCCATAGTCACTCCAAAAAGGGTAACAAACGGGTGCGCAACGACGACCTGATAGAATATAATATGTAAATATGTTCGAAGGTAAAGATTAGAAGTTAAGATGATAATAGGGAAAAGAATAAAACGGCGTTTTCAGGTCCTTATTCATATGAAAAAGAAAAAAAAGCTTTCTCAAATTACAACAGTAATCGAGTAATCAATATAATTTTAAAAAAAAACTTTCATGACATTTTAAAGATATAGACCGGTAGATGTAAAATTGCGGTTCAAGGGTTTTGGGCGCAAAATATCCATTCAATATTGTTTAAATATTGCCTTCAGAGGTTTAGATAGCAATACTTCAACAACCTAAATTCGCCAAAAAACAGAAATATATGGCCAAATGTTCAATGTTGAAGGCCGGATCGTTTTGATAATTTACCAAATATATCAATTATTAGTAGGCGGTTTCCCGTCAAAATTTATATCATCACGTATTAGTCAAAACATACTCTTTCACATGATAGTTAATAAGAGCTTCCATTTCATTTTTTGAGAGGGGGGCGTTTCCAAAACTGGTCTATACCTTTAAGCAAAAAAAAAACGGTTTTACTTGGAGTTTTTCGAAAACAACATACTGTATAACTACATTAACAATTAAAATTACAATTATATTCTCGATCATTCAAGAATTCGAACAACAACAAATCCACTTACACAGTTATTCTAAGTCCATGTAAATCATTGCCCATACATTTCAAATGTCATAAATAGCTTAACTATATTAAACAAAACATGTGACAAGAAGGAATTTTGTGAAATCAGCAAACGAAAGGCCCTATCAATCATTCTGAGTATTAAATATTTACCAGGTTCACGCCTGTTTTTTTTTAATGAATATGTTCATGTATCATAGCTTGCATAGTGCTGTTGTTTGTGAATTGTATTTTCATGTTTTATATTCTATTGTTCGAATTGTATGTTGTCACGGCCTCGCTGAAAAACAGCATTTGCTGAATGCGGGCACATTTATTGTATTTGTTTTTAACCGTGGATGGATAAAATAAACACACAAAAACACACATACTTCTTTTAGATGCTGGTTCGGGTCTACTCCAGGGTCTCCTCCCTAGCTGTTAGCTGATAAGTAACCCTTGAGTTCAATGAGACCCTCTCAACTTTATTATCGGATGATTGCAGAGGGTTATCAAGGTACACTTGATCTCTGGATGTGTAATCTCCTTTTCTTCTCAAATTAACCCCCTCCCCCCCCCCCCCTCTCTCTCTCTCTTCTAAGTTCTCCTTACTCTGACGCGTCACACAATGAATGCTTTTGGAAGATGACACCGCTCATTTTCAACTATGAAGAAAAATGCCCCACTATATTATTTTGCTCAGTGGTCTATGACGGAGAGGGTCTGGGGGGGGGGGGGGGGTCACTGGTCTGATAAGATGATGAAATGTAAATTATTATCAACGCCATTGATTCAGGGGAGGGTGCGGAAAGGGGGTCTGAGGGTTCTATCATTATCTTTTCAAGTCCATTGCCGCTCTCCCTTGCCGTTTTCAATTTCTTCATCTCTACATCCCCCCTTATCTGTAAACTGATACTACCATAGGCTCTGCTCAAGGCTTAATACGAATGGTGGTAAATTGTAAAATTAGAGTCTGTGCTCGCAGACTGTAGGGAGGTGGGCGTGTACTTATAAACTCCGTAGTTACACCACTGGATACAGATAATAATTACCCACGAATAGAGAGGTATAATCAAATGATGAATAACCCCTGGTGAAAAAACGTGTAAAAACACGTTGATTTTACCTTTTTTTGAGATGGGGGGGGGGGTGCGATTTAATTTTTTTTTTCACTAGCTGGCTAATTCGCCGCTAAACATTTTCTCACGAATCGGGCTCCCTATTTGGTCCCCTCCCTTGCCGCCTACTGGATCCGCCCCTGGTCGAGCCTAACCTCTTACAGCTAAACAAAGTATTTTGGTACAAGTACATTCAGAAAACGAAACAAAGCAAATATAAAATATAGATGTTTGTATTAAAACAATACCAACTACATCATCATTGATAAGCTTATGTACAGGCATGTATGGTTTCCGTGATCTTCAAGTTTGTTATTCTTTCTTTTCTTACATAGACATACTCACATACTATATATTAACAATGTCCAATCAGTTTAAAAGAATATGCTGATGGTGTTCATATTCTTTTTTCATTAAAAAAAACACTTTCTTTTTTAACAGAAACTTTCTTTTTTGACAAAGGCGCAACAATATTTAAACCGACAGTCAAAAAGAATAGCCTATATTAATGAAATCAAATTCTCATTCTTTAAACAAAAATCTGTTATTTTCTTTTTGTCGCAGGCACAATGATTTACCATGGCAGTTTAAACAGGCTGTCAACAATATGCTACAAACCGTGGACCTCAATGAGACTCCTACGTGGGATCCTACCCACACTGATATCCCACGACTAAGGACAGGGCAAGTCGGAGCACAGGTGAGATCATTTTTGTTTTTCCTTCTTCTTCTTTTTATCTTTTTTTCTTCTTCATCTCCTTCTTCTTTTTTCCTACTTTTACCCACTATAAGGACATAATTGGTTTGAGTACAGATAAGATAATATTTTTCTTTTTCTTTTGTTTTTCTTTCTTCTCATCAGTGGCGTACCTGGGGTACTCCGTCAGGGGGGGGGGGGGGCAAGCGACCGAAACAAACAAAAAAGGCGATGCTAATTTTCACTTCTGGCGAGCGAGCGAGCAAAAAAAATCTTTAAGTAACGTTTGGTATATAAACTGATATTGTTGCAAGTTGGGGGTGGGAACATTCACTTGTTTGCGACGTTAATTACATTTTTTTGCAAACGAGTGTAGCGAGCAAGAAAAAATCACTTCTTTTTTAATAATTGCCACTTAAACTTGGTTCAATTGTCCCATGCAGGGCGCGGGAACAATATTGTGTTTAGGGTGATTTTATACCCAATTTAGCTAGCGAGCGAAAATACATCTTTCTCTCAATGAATTGCTATATAAAATTTGTTTCATTGTTGCAGGTAGGGGGCGGGCACAATCGTGTTTAAGGCAATGTCAATCCCATTTTGGTGGGCAGGCAACCCCCTACATTTCTCTTTTTAATGATATTGTAGCAGGTTAGTGGTGGGCACATAATTCCACGAGCTAGCGAGCGTAGCGAGCGAAAAAAAATTCACTTCTCTTTTATAGGGAAAATATGGTATATAAACTTGGGTTCATTGTTCCATGTCAGGGACGTGATTATTAAAAGCGGTGTTTTTTCTATTTTGGCGAGCGAGCGTAGCGAGCGAGCAAAATTTTTGTAATGATAATTGGTTCATAAATTTCAGATTTTTTTGTTGCAGGGCAGGGCTTACACAATCATGTCTAAGGTGATGTTATTTCCGTTTTGGCGAGCACGAGCACTCCAAAACTTCTTTGAATAACGTTTCGTACATAATTATTAACTGGTTGTTGCAGGTTGGGGCGGGCACGTTAGCGGTGTCAATTTCACTTTGGCGAGCGAGCATAGCGAGCAAGCAAAAAAAATTAATTCTCTTTTAATAAAAAGAGAGGGCGACAAAACTCTTCCATTTTTAATGATATTGTTGCAGGTCAAGGGTGGGCACTATTGTTTCCAAAGCAATGTCTATTCATTTTATTCGCGAGCGAGAAAAATGAATTAGTCTCTTTTAGTAACATTTGGTACATATATTGTGTGTTATTTTTGCCATGGTTGCAGGTCAGGGCCCGTCGGGGCAGGCACAATTGTATTCTAGGCAATACTAATCCTTTTCTTTTTTCAGGGGGACAAGCAAGTGAAAACATTTAATACAAAATAGGCTAGCAAGCAGTTCGCGCCAGCGAAGAGTTTCAAATTTGTTATATCACTTATATTTTCCTATTTTCATTTGTTTTAATTTTTCAGGGTCGTATGCGGAATATTTTTCTGGTGGGGGAGGGGGAAAGATGCGTTAAAAGTTTTCGAAGAATCTCAAAAGCAAAAGGAGTGAAGGGAGTTCGAGCGACCGAACTGGTCATGAGGGTACTTTTGCATTTTCAAAAGTAGCATTGAAGGATTTGGTATAGGCCTACACTACATTTTCAGGAAAAAAAACTGTACGTTTTCAAAATATCTGGGGTCAACTGCCCCCCCCCCCCTGGTGCGTACGGCCATGGTTTAAAAAAAAAAAAAATCCCCATTTTTATTCCTTTCCTTTTCTTTTCCCTTTTTCTTCCTTTTCTCTTCTTCTTCCTTTTTTCTTTCTTTTATTTCCTTTTCTCTCTTTCTTTCCTTTTTTCTTCCCTTTTGCTTTTTTCCTTTTCTTCCCTTTTCCTTTTTTCTTTTTCTTTCCTTTTCCTTTCTTTTCTTTTCTTTCCCCTTTTTCTTTTTTTCCCCTGGAGCCCGTCAGGGGGGCACTCTGCCCCCCTGCCCCCCCCCATAGGTACGCCAGTGCTTCTCATCCTTGTGTTTCTACTTCTTCTTCTTTTGCTTTTTTGCTTTTTGCTTTTTTGCCTTTTCCATTATTCCATTTTCTTTTTTTCTCTTTAATAATTATGATTCCGATATACTTTTAGTGTAAACCGGGAACCGGGAAGGGTTGGAGTACATTCCCAATAGTGCATTATATAATTGGGTAGGGGGAGGGAAATTGATAGGTTTTAATAGTATAGGAACATACAATATATTTGAGATGTTTTGTTCATGCTCATGCATGTTTTATTCTTTTCTTCTCTCTTTCCTTGTTTCTTTCTTTCTTCTGGACCTCCAGGAAGATCATATCCATTAGATTAACGACTCTGAATAGAGCGATCCATCCGTTTTATCTTCCACTAACTATCATGTTTTATGTTCATAAAAAAACTATCTATGAATATATGTTTTTATACGGAAAATAAAACCAAACCAAACCAAGCTAACTCAACTGGGCTGTCCCGCGATCGCGTTAATTTTTTGTTAAAGAATATACACACTATTGGTATTACCATCTGCACCCCTAATCGCCACCCTGTAACTTTCTCGTCCGCAGTTTTGGGCCGCCTATACGTCATGCGATTCACAGTACAACGATGCCCTCATGCATATCCTGGACCAGATTGACGTCATCAAGAGGATGGTCCAAATGTACCCTGAAACTTTCGATTTCGTCACAACAGCACAAGGTACGTCGATAAGCACGGAGTATTAAATGTAAAATAGTATGAAATAGCATAAAATACTTTATTAATAGTTATGAGCGATATGGTAAAACTTTTTAATGGGGCAAAAATACGCGACTTGAAATGCTAATCCAAAAAACGATGATTACAGAATTTAAGAATAAAAGACATGAAGTATCAATGGTCATGGCCATTGATCATGGTCTGGTTACCTTTACTTATCATCGAGATACCGGGTGCCCAGAACTACTCGACATCCAAAAATTGATGCACCTCAAGCGAAAGCCTTAGATTTGCCAGTGTGAGAGGGAGGGGCAGCGATATTTTGCATTAATTTGCCCATTAACAAACACTGTTATATAATATACAAAATGCCCATGATAGTAATAAAGTCACTTTGATAATCTTGGAGGTATGGATCCTATGTGTTTGAACCGTACAAGGTCCAACCACGGAGTTGTGAATTGACAACCAAGTGAATTTAAATGAGCAACATAATGCATTTACATGGGTACGACCAGCCAATGACCTGCTTATAGACCCAAATATATATCTAAAAATGTGATAACCCTTTTTAAAGGTAAAGACCAGTTATGGTCATGCGATTGCATTGTGAAAGAAACGTTGTGGAATCGATCAGAAAAGGTTGATCATCTAGCATCTAGCATCTGCAAGGTTCTGGAATCATCAAAATGATAAGAAATTTGGCCCATTCTTCGTAAAGTTACAAGCACTATACACAGAAAGATGTATATGGGACTACCCTATATCTCTCACAGACCATGAGAGAAACAAATTTACCAAATATATGAATTAGTAGGTGGTTTCCCGGCAAATTTTTTATCATCATGTATTAGTCAAAACATATTCTTTTACATGATTGGTAATGAGAGCTTCCATTTCATTTTTTGAAATTGGGGCGTTTCCAATACTGGTCTTTACCTTTAACTTTTTATTTTTATTCTTTGCTTGTCAGAGAATTATTTTCGGACTTGGGCCCCAATTGTTTTTAAAAAAAGAAGAAAAAAAAAGAAAAGAGTCCGTTCCTTACTTATCAAAATAGTTAGTAACAAATTTTGGCCATAATTTTATTTTTTTATCGCAGGAATTGTAGATTCCCATGAGAACCAGAAGATAGCATCTCTGATCGGCGTCGAGGGAGGTCATAACATTGATAGCAGCATGGCTTCACTGCGCATGCTCTATGAACTTGGGGTCAGGTACATGACCGTCACACATAGCTGCAATACACCTTGGTAAGAGCTTGTCGAAAAGAAAAAAAATTTCGTGATGTAATTTTTCGTGATGGTATTATTTCATGACTATTTTATGATATGATATCTCTTGTAATAAAATTGGTTATCTTTACGACTCTAACACAATGCACCGCATGCCGCTTTCAGTCATTTTATCTTCATTTATAACCTGTTATCTGGATTATTGTCCTTTTATAATAAAACTATCTCTATATTTATCTACATAATTGTCAACTCATCTGTCTTCCTATCTTCTCTCTCCCCCCCCCCCCACCCTCGCGTTCTCTTTATCTCTCGGACTATGACATGATTTCCACCTGTCAACAAATCGATCGATCGATCGATCAATCAATCAATCAATCAATCAATCAATCAAGAAAATGCAAGGGATGAGGAAAGGGGGGGGCCTGCCCGGTTCACAGCTGTGTGTGATTGACCGGTCTCGACTGCCATAGACTGCCCACGTCTTCTTGTATCGTTTTTTTTTTGTTTTTTGTTTTTTGTTTTTGTTTTTTGTTGTTTTTGTTTTGTGTTTGTTGTTGTTGGGTTTTTTTAACGGGGGTAGGGGACATAACAAACTTTATTCATTCGATATAACTAAGTTGATTGTAGTCTGTACTTTGTTCCAATATGTTATAAATTATAATATGTAATAGGATACTAGTACTGCAGAACAAAATATAGAGGGGGGGGGGGTTATAACAATATTAATTCATTCAATATGATTGAGATTACTGTATTTTGTACTCTGTAATTGGTTTCAATATGTTATATATTACAATTTGTATGAATTAATATTATTTATTGAGTGAATACAATAAAGAATATTACAAAACAAAAAATCACAACAAAAGTTTTAGAGAGCGCGAGGTAAAGGTGGAACGAAGTAAAAAAAAAAAGGAGTTTTCCCCCTTAAACAAATTAATGTATATATGAACTTCATTTGCAGTTCACATATATGAGTATGGTGGTTTTTGTCATGTTATCTTGTAAATGGAAGATAATAGATGAATTTTTATAGAAAAAAACTATTTATCTCACTCTCAAGGGCGGATAATTGGTTGATGGATGATGAGACTAACCCAGAACATAACGGACTTACCGCTTTTGGCAAGGTATTTATCATCATATATATATATATTTTTGTTTTATTTGAGTTATCATATAAAGCAACATTAATAGAAAGAGTATCGAGAACTAAGAAGAGAGAGAAAGACAAGAGACATATAGATAGAGAGAACGGAATATACAGAAAGAGAGAGAGAGAGAGTTGGAGAGAGAGAGAGATGTTTTGTGTTTGACATTTGACCTATACTCATTTTGGATTCATTAGTTAAGAATTCTTAATCATCTCTTAGAAAAAATGAATTAAATCAATGGCTGTGCATGTCATTAAATGCAGTTACTGTGTCATTAAACAAAAGAAATATAGGAGAAACTAGCGCTTTGTAGCCGTTATCATTTATCTAGATTTTCGAACCGACCCTGCTGTCTCGATCTCACATCCCTTTGCCCCTTCATCCATAATCAGTGATAATGACGAAAAACATTTCATTCCGCGTCTGCCGATCGAAAGCCTTTAGCAGTGGAGGATACAGGGCAGGGGGCATCGGAGCCACGTGCCCCCCCCCCAAAAAAAATTAGATATAGGCCTATATATATATATATAAGGAAAGGAATGGAAAAAGAAAAGAAAAAAAAAAAAGGGGGGGGGGGCTAAAAGAGAAAGTAAAGAAGAAGCATGGGCCTGTTGTTGTTGCTGTTTATTTTTTGTTTATTGCTTGTCACAGAAATTAGAGCTTGTGCCCCTGAAAATGACGTAGTCTATGAGTTAACGCCCATATTCAGTCACCCATAACCCTTACACTCTACTATAAAAATGAATTACTATTTTTTTTTCATCAAGGATGTCGTCCGTGAGATGAACCGTCTAGGCATGCTGGTCGACCTCTCGCACGTCTCCGTGAAGACAATGAACGACGCCCTCGATCTCGTAACCGCACCCGTCATGTTCAGCCACACCTCGGCATACGAACTCTGCAACCACTACCGAAACGCCCCCAATAGCATTCTTACCAGAGTGGTATGTATGAACTATTAATGGACGGACCAATGGATGCCGAATTAGCCTACATGCCCCCCCCCCCCCCAAAAAAAAAAAAGAAGAAAAGAAAATATAATAAAAGCCCTTTTTAGGGGTAAACACTGCCCCTCCCTGCCATTTGGGAAGGCTGCCAAAATAATGAAGTCGAATTAACCTTCCAAACCCCGACTGAAGAAAAAAAAAAGGAGAATCAGAACTTTTTAGGGGGGAATACTGTCCCTTTCATTTAGGGTTTTTGTTTGTTTGAGGGGCCGGCAATATGATCCCGCCAGAATTACCCGGATTTTTATTATTTTCATTATTTTATAACCATCCCCTTTAAACCCTTTTTTCTTTCAACCCCACCCCCACCCCCAATCCATAAATGGTGTCATGTGTTTGGAATGTCAAATTGAATAATCAAAAATAAACAATTTCCCTAAAAAAAAGCTTGGCGGCTGCATTGGCTCCCTCGTCTGTATGAACCTTAATTACAATGTGCTTTCAAGGTTTTCTCCTCATTACTGCAGATTATTGTTAGCATCATTTTGTATTTAATGACTTGCATAAAATTGTTTTTACTGTTGTATCTATCGAATATATGTACATGTTTTGTTACCTTGTATATGGGTTACTTTGTAAATTCTTTTCACATGAAGTTAATGTGGAAACAAAACCTGAATACAAAATAAAAAACTTGGAAAAAATCAATCACGATTGATCTAATAATAGTTAAATTGATTACGACATAAAACAAGTTTGTCGGTATTCATAAATAAGGCAGTGTGTGTATTATGTGCAGAAGTTGCATCTTTTATCACGAAAATTGCCCGTGTTTTCTATCCACCTGTGAAATCGCTCCTCCTATCCTGTCTCTATTAACATTATAATGTACCTGTCTTCACTTTTTATCTTCCTACATGTATGTAATTTTGTTGTCTTTGTTTTTCATTATGAAATTTAAAATAGTCATCTACCCATCTGCTTTATCTTACAGAAAGCTAATGGAGGAGTTGTTATGGTGAACTTCTACACGAAGTATATCAACTGCCCACCCGCAAATGTCACAGCTGATGATAATTATGCTACCCTTGGCCAAGTAGCAGGTACGTACCAATTAATGTTTTGATTTGATTTGATTTGACATGGTTTATTAATTTAAAAAAAATCTTCGCAGTCACAAAAGTTGATTTTTTTTCCTGAAAATGAGTGAGATCGAAAATGTGCATACATTATAAGTAGTAAATGGACATAAGTTCAATAATGATATTTAAGATAATTCTGAAGTGATTTTAGATTACGGCAGAAATTGAAAATACGATATGAGTGCATTTGGTTGACTTATAAATATACTCTATTATAGACTCTGATGATGATTATGGACCACACGTCATGTTTATTAGTACCATATACGGTTCAACAAACACTTTAACTTGTAATACCATTTACACAAGAGGCGCCATTTGATGACGTAGTACTTCATTGCTATTTTTTCTTTCTCTCATTCTTCCTATGTCTGTCCCCAGTCTTTGCCCCACCTCTCGTTGTTTGCCTCTTTCTTTTTACCCCCTCTCTCCTCTTTACTCCTTCAGTCTATCCCCTCTCAACCCATTCCTCCTCCTCACTTTCTCTCTCTCTCTCTCTCTCTCTCTCTCCTTCCCCCTTCTCTCAATCCTCCATGTCTCCCTCTTTGTATGTTTCTGGTGATCCTCCCCTCTTCTGCACTTTTGAAATATTGTAAATATAACCTTGTGTTTATGATCTCCATTTTTCTGTATAGATCACATGGATCATATCAAAGAGGTGTGTGGATGGGAGTGCGTTGGTTTTGGAAGTGACTATGACGGCGTTGGCACGTGAGTTTTCATGAATGTCTCACCATCCCGACCCCCTTCTCCCTGAAAAGAAGAAGAAGAAGAAGAAGAAGATGTCGGTGATGAAGAAGAAGAAGAAGAAGAAGGAGGAGGAGGAGGAGGAGGAGGAGGAGGCGGAGGCGGAGGAGGAGTAGGAGGAGGAGGAGGAGGAGGAGGAGGAGGAGGAGGAGGAGGAGGAGGAGGAGGAGGAGGGGGAGGAGGAGGAGGAGGAGGAGAAGAAGAAAAAGAAGAAGAAGAAAAGAAGAAGATGGTTTTGCTATTTTTAAATCGACTAAAAAACACCGGGGTAGGGGCCAATAGCAAAGAAGACTCGAATTCGATTGACTACTGTTGGAAAAGTACTAAAGCCTGGACAGTATTATAACGATAAATATAATCGTCTGCATCTCTGATGTGTTTTGGTTGGTTCGTTGTCTCCCTTGATGAATGCAGTGTCCCCGAAGGATTAGAAGACGTCTCTAAGTTCCCTGACCTGGTGACAGAACTCCTTCAGAGAGGTTGGACAGAAGAAGAGGTAAAGGGCGCCATCGGTAACAACTTGCTTCGAGTCTTCAGGGCAGTGGAGGAGGTATGTTGAGTCAAACCATCCATGGGCAGACTATAGAAACCCAAAATACCCAAAACACAAAATTTGATATCTAAAAAAATGAATAGCAACTCCTATATCTTAAAGCCCCGCCACACAAGTTTGGCCAGGAGGGATTAGACCTCCCTGCATGGTCACTGACAGGTGGTATAAGCTCTAAATTAACATAAGAAAAAGAGGATCATGGGGACCAATGGTTACCGATTAGGCATTGTTTGATATATAGAGGGCGCAAGTAGCTATAAGTAGTGCAGTGGGGCTATAAGTTAACAGTTGGGATTAATTTAAAGCTGCGATTGACTTGAATCAAACTCTTTGTATTAAATACAGGCCTCTCCGTGGAAAAAAATTCCCCACTAAATATTGCTTTACTAGACACATAATTATTACGCCTCGATATAGTCGCTGGTAAAAACTAAAAAAGAAAACAATTATTGCAATAAATAGGTTGATTTCCACTAATTTGATATTCGAAATCGAAGCAAATACGTTACTTTTTGTAAACGATTGGAACAAAAAATATCAATTTTGTTTTAATCTTTCCTCATCATTTTGTTTTCATTCATTTCCAGGAAAGCCAGAGGTTGCAAGCAAGCATCTTACCTTACGAGAACACCATGCCCAGAGATAGCGGGAAAGAGGTCAATAACACATGCCGTACCTACGTCTATGACCCACCTGCTCAGTAGAACCATTAAACTGGGGGGGGGGGGGGGGGGGGGGGCGTTTCACAAAGCCTTTTTTCAATGACAAATGACAACAATCAGTGGCAAATCTACTGATAACCAATCAGAAGCAAGGATTTCAGTAGCTTATAACAAAAACTGTCATTTGTCACTGATGCTTTTATTTTGAGATCTGTGTAAAATCTTATCAGTGAGAATGTACATTATGTACCTTTCGATTAATAAATAATTATAGTATAGAAACTGCGTTGTTGTCAACATTTAACTTATAATTCTGTATTGGGGTTGTGGTTCATATAAAATTTTCTGTATGGAATTTAAATACTAATGGTAATGGTAATGGTCAGCAGGCGCTGCGAGTCGTTGCGATTTTTTGAAGACCAACAAAAAAAAAGTGTCCTCTTACCCCCCCCCCCCCAGCGGCTGGCTGAGTCGTTGCGAAATTTTCGGCCCGATTTCAAAATGTTAACCCCCCCCCCTTGAAAAAATCCTGCGTACGCCACTGAAGGTCAGTAATGGTTTTATTGAAAATTGTTTGCAGCCATATGGCTGAATTGCAGAATTTTGTACATTGCGTAAAAACATAATTTTTTATATTTTTAAAAATATTTTATTAATAATTATAAAAACATCAATAATCTACAGTAAATTATTATCCAGCAAATCGTATTAAGACATATCACACAGTGAATTATTTTGTATAAATAAATCTATTCCACAATCATATATGACATATTGTATGAAAAGATTGTTCGAAATAAGAGAGAAGAGAGAACAAAAGGGCTGGAGGGAAATATAAAAAAAGAGGTAGGGAGGGAAAATAGTACAGACAGCACAGGAGATCCAGGAAAAGTGTGAGAGAGAGAAAGATAGAGGGAGAGAAAGGGAGAGAGAAAGAGAGATTATAAAGGGAGAGATAGAGATAGAGAGGGAGAGAGAGAGAGAGAGAGAGAGGGGAGAGAGATAAGATAATGCTGAGGATGAGAGTGCATAGCAGACATATCGAAAATAAGGTAAAAAGTGCAATTCTGTCAGAGAGAATATTGGTTGTAGATCCATAAATTATAAGAACATTTTACATTTTCATTGGTGAGTGCTGGATAAAATATTTGTAAATTGATAGGTAGGGTATGCAATAAAAATGAAAAACATAAAATATGGTGATTTTGAGGTTTCTATGGTAATAACTATGTGGTAAGTATGTCGGCCGTCTGGTTGCTGACTTACAAGCATTTATGCTTTTTAAGCAGTCAGGTAAAATAACCACCTAATAACCATCAATGACGTGGGAGATAATGTAATACCATATGGCACTTGTGTTTAAAGGAGAGTTGGTTTCTGTGGCCAAGAAAAGTTCTATCTATATGTAAATGAGACAAAATGTGAAGGTATAGAAAATCCACATTTTTAATCACGAGTTAAATTAAATGTTGACATGTGTATGTGTTTTTACGCGTAGATCATAATCAAAATATTATACACGGTTCAGCATTTGCTCAAAAAGCTATATAGACCATGATTAAGGAACAACGTACCATAACTCGACTATCTCCAATAACATTGATAGCGGCTTCGGAGAGGATCTCCTAGTAAACCTATACACGACTTTTTGTTAGCAATGGAATCCAATGACCGGGGTAATATGTAAGGCGTTTAGACACATAGGAACTCTATACAAACGTGACTATTATCTTTAAACTTGAAATCCATTTTACATAACCCAAGAAAATGTCAGACAAAATCCATTAAACTATAACTCCAAAGCCTGTGCCTAAATTAAAAACTTTAAAAACACCCACTAGTAGATAGAAACGCACTGTCTTGAATGCTATCATTATTTTTGTAATTAGATTATCCAAAAACTCTGTGGAAACAACATTTCCCATACGATGAGGTAGAGTAATTGAGTGCCTAAAACCCTTGGGCTTCCAAGGGCTCCGACCCCTGAACCCCACGCCAATTAGTAACCTGCCAGTGTCACAATTAGGTATCAAAATAATGCTTATCTGACCGTAATTAAATGTCTAAAACCCCTGAACTTCGGGGGCTCTGCCCCTGGACCCCGCCGAGGGCACTAAGGCGGACCCCTGAGTGCTAATCTGACCGTAAATTATTGCCTTAAACCCCTGAGCTTCCGGGGCGGACAAGGTATCAACATAATGTTCCTCTGACCGCAGGCGCGTAGCCAGGGGGGCGGTGGGGTGGTCCCCCAAAAAATGCCGGCCAAAAAAAGAGAGGAGTGAAAAGGAAAAGGGAGTAGACAAAGAACATTTTGAAATTCAGACAAGGATTAAGAGTCGAAAACGTTACAACGATTCGTCTTCTTTCTCTAATAATTTAATGAAACGTAAAATCTTCCGCGCTTCGCGCGAGAGGGGGAACCTGAATTTAGACGAAGATTAAGAGTCGATAACGACACAACGAATCGTCTTCTTTCTCTAATGATTTAATGAAACGTAAAAGCTTCCTCGTGAGGGGGGGGGGGGGGGACATAATTCAGACGAGGATTATTTTTGGGAACGGTACAACGAATCGTCTCCTATCTCTAATAATTTATTGAAATGTCAAAGCTTCCGCGCTTCGCGAAGGAGGGAGGGGGAAAACTCGTCCCTCCCTGCACCCACCCCCCCCCCCCAATTACATCACTGCTGGTCACCATTACGTACCAATATTTGGCTTGCATAATTTCAAATTTGGGTTTGTATGTTTTCAATCAATTCAAAAATTAACCATGGTAATCTTGATTATGTTATCATTTTCAAAAAGGTTGTACAACCGTCATGGTAACAAAAAGTTATATACTATTTCACAGCTTCTCTACCTCATCACTATAGGGATAAGCATTAATTAAACCATGCAAGGAGTTATAAACTGCAGCCTGATATATCCATGATTAAACTTTATAAAAACCCTACGAATTCTAGCCAAGTACCCAAGAAACTTAGAACTATTGGTACACAAGTTTTGGTAGACATGTTTTAAAAATCACTAGGGCTATTATTGTTTTTAACGTATGTTATAGTCTTTAAGCAGTATTTCAACACCAGTATCTCAAGAGCCAGTTTAAATACACTGGAATATTTTCTCAAAACTGACCCCTTTGATAATAACAATGATATATGTAATAAAAATTATTATTATTTTTATTATGATAAAATTATCCATTTTTAGCGCATAATACTGAAACGTCTTTACACGCTTCACAAAATGAATTAAAAAAGGAAGTTAATTATTGTACTGTAATTAGAGTTGTATAAAGAAAGGGGAAACTTTATCGGCATAATAGAAAATAAGAAAAACTATATAGTGGTAAATCAAAGTATACTAGGAAGTTAAATTCCCTTTGCAACTAAAGTATCTATTTACTGATATGTAGAATACTGATAAAACATGTGAAGATCTGACACAGAAAAACTTTCATCGGTTAGGGATAATCATAAAATATAGTTTTTGAAGCTTCTACCAACCTTGAATTTTGTTGCGCAATCTTCGTCCTCTCCATGTGGACTTTCTCAAGCTAAGTGATCGGTCCATCCAAAAGATCAAATTCCAAGAGAGGAAAAGACAGACATTGTGTTCAAGATAACTTGCACAGATTGTAACAATTCTTATGTTGGGGGAACTGGCAGAACTCTTAATGAGCGATTGACAAAAGAGCCCTCAGATTGAGTAACCCATTCCATTCAGCTTTAGCTGAACACGCCCTCAACTGTCCTCATTATTGACTTTGAAAGCAACTTCTGGTCAAGAAAGGTGAAAGAGTCAATATAGATTAAGAGGATTAAGCCTACACTAAACAGAGACTCTGCACTATTGCCACCTACAGGGGCGGCCGAGCGACTTCCAAAGTAGGGGGGGGGGGGGGAGAGGGCACCAACAAAAAGGGGCACTTTCTGGAATAAAAGGGCACCTCCAATGCGAAATCTCAAAGCGAAAATATACAATTTTTTAGACATTGGCCCAGATAGCAAAATATCTGGGGCCCATCTGGGTTTTGTATGGGCTGACTAAAACCCACGTGGCCCATACAAAAACCAGATGTATACCAGATGGGCCTTCCCACCCAGAACCCACACATATGGGCCCCATGTGGGCCCCATGTGGGTTTTTGTTTGTGAAAATCGCACTTCGAACATCGGCTGGGCCCAGCTAAAAACCAGATGTATACCAGATAGGCCTTCCCACCCAGAACCCACACATATGGGCCCCATGTGGGTTTTTGGTGGTGATAATCGAACGTCGAAGATTGTCTTCACCCAGCTGAAAACCAGATGTATCCCATATGGGCCTTCCCACAAAGAACCCACAGGTATACGGAGCCCACGTGGCCCATTTAAAAACCAGATGTATACCAGATGGGCCTTCCCATCCAGAACCCACAAGTACCAACACATATAGGCCCCATATGGGCCCCATGTGGGTTTTTGGTGGTGATAATTACACGTCGAAGATTGTCTTCACCCAGCTGAAAACCAGATGTACAGTGCGTCCCAGAAAAAACGAAACCGAGAAGTATCGATGTTCTATCATAACTTAATCACAACTATAATTAATGAATGATACATATTTGGAAAGCTTATAGAGTCTTTTCTTTCATGTGATGCTACTCAGATAATGCATATTTCACGCATGAGTGATTAAAAGCAATTTGAAGGAGGGGAACCAAAAATACATTTGGCGGGCGGTATCTGAATTTCGAAGTAAAATTCACATTTCTAGAAAGTTGAGTTTCTGTCCTTTCATATGACACCTCAATCAGGAAAATTGAGCGAGGAATGACAAAGTTCTGTTTGTTTAAAGTAGTGCTTGCATTTCCATAATTTTATTAAACGAATTCGTTTTCACTGGCTACCTGCAGTAGCAACAAGCAAAACTGACAAAAGACTTAACTCCGTTTCGTTGACAATCAGCCGTAGATGAGAGTCTTCATGCATGGCTGATTGTCAACGAAACGGAGTTAAGTCTTTTGTCAAATCTGCTTTTTGCTACGGCAGGCACCCAGTGAAAACGAATTCGTTTGTTAAAATTATGAAAATGTAAGGGCTACTTTAAACAAACAGAACTTTGTTATTCCTTGCTCATTTTTCTTGATTGAGGTATCATATGAAAGAGCAGAAAATGAACTTTCTAGAAATATGAACTTTTCTTTGAAATTCAGATACCGCCCGCCAAACTACTTTTTGGTTTCCTTCCTTCAAATTGCTTTTAATCACTCATGCGTGAAAAATGCATCACGTGAGTAGCATCAACTGAAAGAGGAGACTCGAAGCTTTCCAAATATGTATCATTCATTAATTATGGTTGTGATTAAGTTATGATAAAACATCGATACTTCTCGGTTTCGTTTTTTCTGGGACGCACTGTATATCAGATGGGCCTTCCCACCAAGAACCCACAGGTATACGGAGCCCACGTGGCCCATATAAAAAACAGATGTATACCAGATGGGCCTTCCCATCCAGAACCCACAAGTACCAACACATATTGGGCCCATATGGGCTCCATGTGGGTTTTTAGTGGTGAAAATCGCACGTCGAACATTGTCTTCGCCCAGCTGAAAACCAGATGTATACCAGATGGGCCTTCCCACCCAAAACCCACAAATATATCCCATCATTTGCATAATGAGTATGGGGTGCGGGCACATCTATGTTTTTTTAACAATTTATCTAAATTTACAGGATATTTCTTAATTACTGATGATTTAGTTATTTGCAATTCATTTCGAAAATACTACAAAATGTAAATTGCCAATTATTAGGAAATTTCACTACTTTGTTTAAATTACATTTAATTAAACATGAATTAGAAAAAACACTAACTATAATCTAAAACAGATTCAATAAAATACAAGTATATGGAAATGTCTTTTCACAACCAAGTCTTCTTAACACCAATGCCTTTACATTGGAAATGTTAGACGATGTGTTGTTGCCATTGACCAAATTAATTAGTACAAGTGCTACATAACCTACTAATTATGTCTGCTAATTGGAGCTTTCAATCAGTGGTTGAAAGTTGTGCCAAATGGTACGACTGGTCCAGTTAAAACTGGTAACCCTGGAAATTGAAATGGGATAAATGAATTCAACTGGGAAAAATAGGAACCCATTTAAACAATATGAAGCCCATTTAAAACCACATTGGCCCATATGGGACCAGATCAAACCCACTTGGCCCATATGGATCCCATATAAAAACCCGCTTATAGCCCATATGGGGCCCATATAGAACCCACTTGACCCATATATAGAATGTGGTAGGTCCCACATAAAACCCACATATGGCCCATCTGGTGCCCAATAGGTAACCCTTGTGTATATTGATGGGCCAATTGTGGGGTACATCTGGGTTTCACGTGGGCCCATCTGGGCCAAGTGGGTACAATCTGGGCCGCCCATCTGGGGCCCTTCTATAACCCGGGTGCAGATTGCTGGGCCCCACATGGGGCCTATCTGGGACCCATCTGGGCCAAATGGGCCAAGTGGGCAAGAGATGGGCTGGCCCATCTGGGCCAAGTGGGCCAGCCCAGTTGTAACCAGATAAAACCCATATGGGCCCCACAACATTTTGCTATCTGGGGGTATATACCCCTACATTGTGATTACATTATCAGGGATGATTTCAATATTTGTTTCTCTTTATAAATCATATTATAGTATTAATGACTGCTTTGAGAGAACTAGTTGTTTTATTACGCTCAAGGGAAGGTTAGAATTGTGCTATTCCCCGAGGCTTGCCGAGGGGAATAGCCCAATTCTAACCTTCCCGAGAGCGTATGAAAACAACTATTTCTCGAATATTAAAGCAGTCATTAATACTTTTATATGCCGAAAAAAAATAGACTAAAAAATGCAAAATTAAAAATATTTATCAATTTTGTCGAAGACGGGATTCGACCTCTTGCGTACAACAAGAGGTGTACCGAAAACCAACGCTTAGACCACTCGGCTATGGCCCGCCGTTAACATGCTTGGCAGTTTTCTCCAATATATACATTAAAATGGATTGAAACCGGCTTCGCGTGTGATGAATGCTTCGCAAAAGCTTCATATACGGACTCTTCTTTTACTTTTGCAATGCATATTGGCACGAACTTAGATCAAGATCTATCGGCAGATGTTGTTTTTAATACTAGCAGTCATTAATACTTTTATATGCCGCATGGTTATTAAAAATATTGAAATGTTTTATGCATGGTTACCGAGAATTTTACAGGAACAGTTGAAGTTTATGAATGCAATTCGACCAATCAGATGGCTGGATTTCTTAAGTGAGGTATATAAAATATATTGCTTAAGCATTGTACTTTGCAGTTTGGTGTGATGTCTGACTATTAATTTGCGAGCGGGGAAAATTTTAAAGATTTGTGAGGTCGCAGTGCGAAAAATTACATCTTATAAAGAGGAAAAAACACGATCTTGATGGGGTTATAAGCACATTCTCATAACGGAAGACTGAAATGACCTTTGATAAGTAACATAATTATATCATTTATAAATGCGAGCGAGCTTTGGGCGAAATTGCTCTTAGTCGCTTTAAATTAGGGGCACGTTTAATGATGAGAGGAAAAGGGGACACTTATCGAAAGGGATGATAAGACACTTATTAGAAAAGAAAAGGAGCACGTGTCTTATCAGAGGTGAAAATGAGGCACTTCTTACACCTGGAAAGAGGCACTCACCAGAGACGAAAAAAAGCACTTTCGGAATGGGAAATGTGCATTATTTTGTTGGCGGAAATGGGGCACCCATCAGATTTTGATAGCGGGCATTTATAAGAGGTGAAAAGGGGATAGTACCACAAAAAAAAAAAGAAAAAAAAGAAAGAAAAAAAGTGAAAGGCGTAAATATTCTAAAAAAAGAATGAAACGCCGATAATACCAAACACAACAACAACAATATAGGTCCCTTATTAGAAAGGAAAAGAGGCACGTATCATTGTAAAAAGGGAAATTACCAGAGGTGAAGAGGGGCCCTTATCGAACCAGAAAAGGTGCACTGCAAGGCCAGATATGAATAGGGGCACTTAAAAGGATAAAAAAGGGGCACTTATAATAAAGGAAAATTTATTTCTTGAAAGAAAAGGAGCACCGATCAGATTTTAATAAGGGCATTTATCGGAGGGGGGGGGGGGGGGTAGGGGGGAACGAGCATAATTTTTTTTCTCCGTTTTTGCCCCCATTTGGCAGGATTCAACTCAACCGAAATCAAGTCGAGCGTTTAATACGGTGCGGTCCATTGACCTGACTTTCGATATTTCGTGCGTACCGTCGCTATGCGTATCTACGTAATACTTGAAGTCGCAATGGCTGCCAATAAAATGACGCAAGCGGCATCAAGAAAGCGATAATCCTGACACTTGGAGTTTTACAGAGCATGATTTTCAACTTTTTATTGAATCTTCACATCAAGGTAAGCATTTATTAGGTGTTGCATGTTGTTAGTGCCCATAATGTGTTTTCCTGTTTTATATCGTTCATAATCATTATATGATTGCACCATATCCGTGCGTGGACCGTGGTCGGGCGAGTGGCCCGATCCGAGTGCACTGCAACGTTAAGCTAATACTAAAAGTAATACGAATCGGGCAGACTATAGGTTAGGCTACGCTGCGGTTACGGCCCGGCCGAAAGGAGGGCCTGGGAGTGGAAAATGCCGTGTAGATCTAGACCTATGCCTCTGGGCAGGGCCCATTAAGCTAGAGCATAAGAGCTAGACGAAGTCCTAACATTAAAACCATCTGCTTGAGCTAAAGTAGATCTAGATCTAGAGATTCCCTGTGAAATTAGGAGGTTGATCTATAAACTCAACATTGGCATTGCTTAATTTGTTGCAACAGTTGCTCTGAATCTGATAATACTTTTAATAGATCTAGACTATAAATAATTACGATTAGTCTATTCTTTGTGTGTGAAAAGTGTGAACAAAATTCTGATTGGAAATGATCATGTTGAAAGAACAAGAAGAGCAATTTTCAGTCTAAATAGAAAATGCTGCAAATTGTTTTTTTTTTGTCATTGTCATTGTCGTTTTGGGAGCAACTTTAGAATACCCCACCACAAAAATTGACCAAACGCCTAAACGCGTCACCAATGTGGATAAATCTCGAGACGTAAGCTTTTTAAGTTACACTAATACCCATACATGCCAACTGTTCAGATTAAAGAGGAACATTCCTCTTTTTGGGAGAAGATAATTATCATTTTAATGCAGGTGTTCCTCTTCCTGTACAACTTTGTCTGTAGTATTGAATAGGAGAGTTAGGATTGTTTCTCTTTTTTTTAAAATAGCATAATTTGTACAGATTTCTGATTTTCAAATGTTGGCATGTATGAATACCTTATCCTAACTCTAACCCTAAACCTAACCCTGGGTCTTGACGTTTATGTACAATAATTGGAGGGTATTCCGAAGTTTTTGTTCTTGAGATAAATTGACCAGCCCAACACACATCAGTCGGCCTTGTCAGCATGCATAATTGATTCATCTAATCAATACACCACTTCATTCTCTGTATTGACACAGACATCAATGAATTATTACCAAGTCCAAGTTCCTTCTCATCTTTTCATACCAATAAAAAGTACACCAATATTCAATTTTTGTCAAACGATCTATATGCAAAGGTTAATTCATTTTTTCTATACATTACATGTCCTGTTGTAAAAACATTCAGGAAGGATTATTGGCTCCATTTTCCATTCTCACTCGCAGACATTTGTTTTGGAGTCGAGACTAGTAGTAACAAAATGTTAAACACTTAATTTTTTCTGAAATAAATGCAAAGAAAATAACTTGGGATCTATACAGTTGAAGTTGGAAATTATTCATTTAGAAAAAGTGGAAAGGGACATTGCCAAAAGACAAGGAAAATGCTGAAATATAAGTTGAAATGGCAAAACATAACAAATATGTAATATGGTTATCACTATTCACTTATCTTCACTATTTTCTGTATGCTACGTACAGTAATTGACGGTTCGTACTCATCACTATGTTTTTTGTTATGTTCTAAAGTAAAGCTTGTATACCTGTAATTTCCCATAGTTCTTTACAAACTGCTTTCTCATGAACTCTGATTTTAGTGATTTGAAGCAATAAACTTTAATAATTAATATAATGAAAACAAATCCTTCTCATCAAAGGATTCATGAAAATTAGCAATGTTGATTTTTGGTCTATTATGCAGAAGTTAAATTTTAGTTCATCATAGCGGTACTCATATACTGCTCATTAAAATAGGAGATGAGTATCAGTTTGAGAGTAAAGCCAAAGGTACAGTACATTGTAATATTGGTAGCATATAGCAGAAAGAGAATGGGAATGAATCTTGTTGTACCATATTTAAAGAGAAGGTTGAGTTCTGGGAAGAGGTGACAAATACTTTGACCAGAACTCAACTTAACTTAAGTCTTTGTACAGTATAGGAGAAAGTCATATATATCAAGGAATGTAAATATTGGACCTACATGTACCTTAAAGGTAATACAAAGTTTTGGGAAATCTGAAAATTGGGTGGAAAGTGATTCTTTACAATTTTAAAAATATTTGGATGCCCCTGTAGATGTTTTATAAGCACAAGAAAAATTAGCTTATAAAATACTTCTCCTTTCAAGAAAAATTGAATATAAAAATTTACCAGTGCTCTCGATAAATTTTGATACATTTCAAATAGCGTCTACGGCCGTACAATGGTAGCTGTGACCATGAAAATCTCAGAATATGTACATGTATCGTAGTTGTGATATATAATTTCCAAACGGGAATAGCTAATTGGTCGATTTTAGTCAAGAAACATTGTTTTATAGCTTAATTAATATCTTGACCTTGAGAGTGAGCTATATAACATAAAGAGTTTATTATTTACAATTTCATAACTTTAGACTCGATTTCAATCGCAACAACGATCTCTATTGTATCTCTGAATATTGTAGGATCGCATATGCTTCCAATATGTTCATTTGAACCAAATTCATGACACCATCCCAAAACTTTGTATTACCTTTAATATCAACTGTATTTACATTTATTAACATTTTTATTTTATAGGTCTTTTGTACATGTACATGTACATGAACATGAAGGGTAATTCATGTAAAAAACGGAGACTATACATTCAAACGTTTTGAACGAAAAGTGAAAGTCCATATGGCACAGTGAGTGCATTCTTTTGTTCAGCATGTCCAGATTGAACAAATACATTTTAGATTGGGTACTGTACTTAGTGTCTATTTAATGTGCTGAAGAAAAGAATGCACTCATGTTACTGTGCCATACATGTACAGGTATGGACTTTCACTTTTCCTTTGAAATGTTTGAATGTACAGTCTCCGTTTCTTACATGAATTACTCTTCCTCAAGGATTGAATTCCCAGAATTGAGAACAGTGCTAAGAACTAGGGCAAATAAACTGAAAAGGTCAATGTAAATAAAATGCATTATGTATAGTAGTACAGACCACCAGGCTTGTACAATGGCCATCTAAGCTATTCAATAACATGTAGCTTCAAGCTAGCAACCCTTCAACAGCGTGATATTGTGTTGTGGTCATAGCAACGAGCAGTCCGAGCGATGCACATTGATTTAGCAATTTTCCCCTCGGATGGTAGATACAGTGTAGCTACTTATAATTTTGTCTAATCACAAGCTATCTGTTAGTGCTACTCAGGGATGCTGTTACTATTACATCATACACCTAGTTCTGGTCAGGAAAGCGAAACCCTTTGATTATTAAAGAGCTTTCTCTTTTTAATGGCCTTACAATACATGAACATGTACTACAGTACCTGTATACTGCATGTAGTTTCATTTTGCGACTCTTGGGTAATTTCAAATGTTGTGAAGATGAATTTTTTTCTTCTAAATTCCTAGTCTTTTTATCTTAGATGTTATATCAATCTTCTTTTACAATTTTGTATGTAGCATACCAGTAATTCATTTGACCTACGATACTATTGTAAGAGGTCTCCATGTACATGTACGGTTAGTACAAACATGTGTGTTCATAGGGACAAAATGAATTTGCACTTTCAGATATATACATGTATCTCTTAATATTAGTATTACATGTACATGTATACAAAATTGTATACTAAATTGTATACTGTAAATTTGTAAATTGCAATATTGTCCAGAAAGGAGTGTTTAAAAAACAACAAATAAATACTAGTGTGTAACTACTTTACATGTATACATGATATACAGGAAAAAAAAACTCCAGTGAACTCGTTACCGGTACAGTTTGTCATTGGAGCGTACAGGTGTATTACTAAAAAAGATTGTGGAAAATGAAGCAGTATTATAATGTACAGCTACATAGCGCTAGAAGTAATTTTTTTGTATGCCAGACTCCATGTTTACTTTGAAAATTTTGTGTCTTCATTATCGTGTTTTAATAATTGCAAGTGCAACCTTACAGACAAAGAATGCTCGAAACTGAATAGCCAGCTATTGATGCATGTCTATAGATTCCAGAGCAGATTATAAGACAAGTCTTGGAAACGTTTGGGGAGGACAATAACAATTAACGGGCAAGAAAGCAATTGATTATCTGGAGAAAATATTATCAGCCACTACGCACTACCCTATTGATTTTTTTCTTCAAGAAAGGCTGACATGTACAATATACAGTAACGGTATACACAGGTACACTACATGTACATGTTATGTAAAAAGTACATGTACCAGTAGATGTTCTTTACCGTAAGTCAAATTTACACTTCACACTTAATACTTGTTATGCACTGTTGTATATGTATGGCAATATGGGTATCTACCGGTTCATATACCGGTACTTTGAGCTTGTAAAGACCGATATTGCTATTTCGTTAAGGCAAAACAATTGGATGAATCTATTAAAAGATACATGTACATGCATACATTGGTAGGTGAAAGTTTCTGAAAGATCAGACTTCTATAAAAACACCCAACTTTTTAGAATTTTTATCAGTTGGGATTGTTCTGGAGGTGCGAGATTAACTAAGATATATTTTCTCTTAAATGCATTTGTGATGACTAAGAAGAATTCAAGTATAGGTAAAATAGATAACGGGAGTTGCTGCTACCCTGTTTGGTGTTCAACAATAGGGGATAGAGCAACGTCGATCTGGCGCTGCTCAGTGGCTGCCGGGCTCACGATCAATTGGGCAAAAAGAATTTCCATTTCGGTTTAATAAAATTTGGAGTGGACTTTAAAAAGATTATTATTATTATTATTATTATTATTATGGCATGGATTAGTTCCTGAAATGGAACTTACATTTGAAATAAATTAATGGAAAGAAACAAGCGTACAAAAGTTTTACTATTGTACTATGAGCTCTGAGGTATCTACACTATACAGTTCAATACAAGTCCATTTGTTCTGTTTCCAAATTACTCAGTTTCTCTTTTCTCAATTTGTGTGATAAGTACAGACTTTTGTTTGTTGTTGTTAGGACAATATGTTATATAAAGTGTATCATGAAAATTTACAGTCACAGTTGTTACTGTATGAATTTGAAATGACATGTCATAGCCAAAATGCTAGAACAATGTGGTTAGAGATACTGTACATTTGTACATGTTCCTCATACCTGTATTTTTTGTGGTCTCAACCTTTCATTTCTGTTCCTTCAGCTGATTTTTCTAGAACTTTATGATCTGTTTCTCAGACTTATCCGTTTCCACTCAAGGGACCTTAAGGATCAATTACTGCGTGCAGCCGAAGATCCATCTAGTTTGCTAGTACAATTATTTCATTCTCTTCCCTTTCTATCTAATCCATTGCAGGCAACAACCACTTTATGCTGACAGTGACACCAAGCAGCCACTATTAAACCAGTCGTTAACCGCTCCGAGACAACCAAACCCAAGCAACCATGGGTTGTGGATCCTCCCAGAGCCTGCCCCTGTCACAGACCTACGAAGTCTCCTCGGTCTGGGACGCCGTATCAAGGACAGTGGAAGCCAGGCGAGAAGGCTCCGACAAGCTCATCGTCAGACGGTCGGGATGGAAGACGATACGCATCTTTGTTTCTTCAACCTTCAGGGATTTTCACGCAGAGAGAGAACTCTTCATCAAGGAGGTATGTTTTAACTTTTAAAGTTTTTATTGTTTCACATTTTGCAAAAAAAATATAGATACATATAAAATACAAATTATACAATACATGTAGTATAAATGAGCACATCTCAATGATTCTCAATTTATAAACATTGAAAAGATTAAGTAGAATGTGAGGAATCTATTAAAAACAGTGCTTGTATATTATAGGTTCCTGGAAAGATAAGTATTGTAGATAAAAAAAACGTAGCAGTAGAGAAAGACGTATTGTAATTTTGAGGGGAGAATTTAAAACACAATGGAATAAGGAAATTTGTATACAAAATAATGCATTGGCACCAATACCCAGAGTTTGATTGTACTTGTTCTGGCAAATTCTGTGACATATTTTACTTTCCTTTTTAACAATTGTTTTGCCTTGTATCCTTCCTGTTTCATATTGAGCATGGATGATATGTTTTTAAAGCTGTTGATGATACTAAGTTATAATTTAGACTGAGGTCTATGGGAAATATGTGCTATACCAAATTAAAACATCTATAATAAGGGATTAAACCCCAAGTCCACTCCAAAATAACTTACTTTTAATAGAAGCAGAAAAACCAGACTAACCAATCAAAAAAATTCTGAGCAAAATCGGATAACTAATAAGAAAGTTATGAATTTTTAATGACATTAAAAACTTTGAAAATCACTAGACAAATTGGAAACTCACTCATGAGTCTGTGACGTCATGTCCTCACTATCCACTAATTATTTTCTTTATATTGATGATATAAATTTCCTATTTTCTCCTTAAGAATCTTTTTTCCTCACACCAGCATCCAAGTTAGATTAATAGTAATATGTTTTTGTGTGGATACACTAATATAGAGTAATTTTTCCAGTTAAATCATGAAAAATGTGAATTTTGATAAACTATTTATATAAAAATCAATAATTATGAATATATACAATATTCAGAAAATAGTATAAATTCTTCAAAGTTCATAAAAGATTTTGTGAAATGTCATGCACGCTATATGTTACAAATCATATAACCTGGGCAAAGGCATGGGGACATCAAGTTTTGGGTAATAAAAAGGGAAATTAATGAGATTAAACCATATAGAGCAATTGATAAATAGTGAGGACATGACGTCAGAAACTGATAACCATCTTGGCAATTTGTGTTGTGATTCTCATTGTTCCATAGTTTTACATACTTTAAAAAAAAATCATAACTTTTTTATTAGTTATCCGATTTTGCTCAAACTTTTTTTGAATGGTTTGTCTGATTTTTTTTGCTTTTATTGAAAGTAAGTTATTTTTCGAGTGGACTTGTCCTTTAAAAAAGAAAAATTAAATAATGTATTTCAGGAAAGTACATGTAACAAGATTATGTGGTTAATCTGCATTGATTTATTTTTCATTGCATTTTGTCTCTGTTAGAGCAGTATCTGTCACTGGTTGTTCATTGATGTACATTGTACATGTGTTAGTACCTGTAGCACCCTTTGTTAAAGTAAACAAGAAATTTATTTTGTGTAAATTGGATATGTACAGTTGTCGGCGATGAATTAAACTTGCATTTTTGTTTGTTTCTGTGATGTAACAGGTATTTCCAGAACTGAGGATATGGTGTGAGAAAAGAAGACTTTACCTCGTGGACTGTGATCTGAGATGGGTATGTATACAAAGCTCTTCTGAATCATTCATCTTTGCCTCTCACTTTCATTCTCTCTCTCTCTCTCTCTCTCTCTCTCTCCCTCCCTCCCTCCCTCTCCCTCTCTCTCTCTCTCTCTCTCTCTCTCTTTCTCTCACTATCTCTCTCGACCGTTTTTTAAACAATTTTCTTAGACAAATTAAATTTATTTGATCATTTTGGTGTCCCAGGATACATTTTTTAATACCAAGTACTGTAGAGTTACATGTATGAATCAATTCAAATCTTTCCTTTTTACATGAATGTCATATTTTGTCTAATCTAAGCTCCATAAGCGCCATGAACGCCCTGCAGAGATGGATACTGGCACAAGATAGAAGAAGTCATCATCTTCAGTTCATACATCTCACTAAACATATTGCAATTAACAGATGTATTAAAACTTTGGATTTGGTGTAAAGGTGTGGGGAAAAATAATGAATGACTATATCCAAATATATTTAATGGTGCTCTTAAATTTGTATTTAGGGCTGTAAATATAGAACATAATGATTTACCGTAAATCTCTGTGTATAAGATGTACCTTTTTGCCGCCGAAAAAAATTGAAAGTCGGGGTGCGTCTTTTAAAAATAAAAATTGAAATTGAAATTTTCAATTTATGGCGCTATACCTGGCAATGTCTTTCAGCTCAGTAATCGGTGTGTTGACTCACCACTCAGAAACTAGAACAATACTCAAATATGTCTGTCATCTTGGTTTGAAAGTAATCTTTCTAATAGATCTCAATGTGTAGTTTATAATAATAATTCCTCCAATTTTTCTTCTATTACACACGGCGTACCACAAGGTTCTATCCTAGGTCCTCTTCTGTTTTTTAATTTACTTTAATGATCTTACACATTTTTCTAAAAATGACATTGTTACTATTATTTGTGACAAGTTCACAAGCACAAATCGGTGCCTTCAACTGCACCTCGCTGTTAAATGAAAGTCCTTCGCCGCGTGGGTTTTCAGCAACAACAAAAAAATATTAAAAAATAGGGGTGCTTCTTATACACGGAGATTTACAGTACTTGTACTAAGCTGGCACAGTTTTCTTAAATGATGGAATTTATCAGGACTGGTATGTAGAATGATGAGAACATTTTCATTTTCTCTCCTTGCTTACAGGGTGTCCCAAAAGATACCACATCAGAAGAAACTCTACGAACATGCCTGAGTGAAATTGACCGCTGCTACCAAGATAACATCATGCCCTTCTTTCTCAATCTCACAAGGTATTTAAAAACATTGCCTCATTCTTATGTCACACCTTGTATATGTTTGTTTAACTAGATATCATATAGACGTGTGTTGTATTAATTTTCTTTAACGCTGTTTGTCTACTATTTCTTTCTCTGTGTAATTTGTGGATTTAATTTTTTGTTGTAAAGATATCTTTCAACAATTATAGAGTCAGGTTCTCAATTCTTTAACAAGTATACTTTAACTATATTATTCTCACATGAATTTCTTTATAATCTCTTGTTGATAGGTATGCTCTTTTTATAACGAATTAGAAATCTGAAGAAATAACATTCAATTTCACTGTTTTACGAAATTGTCTATAGATTTTGAACATTTTGATGAATATGTGAAGAAAACTTTGAGTGATAATGTGACCTTGTCCTCTTGGAAGAAGTTAAATCGATGAGATGAAACAGATTTCTTCTTGTAACTCTGTATGATGACAATTTGATTGTGTGTGTTTTGTTGTTTTCTCTCGTCTTTCTTTCTCTCTCTCCCTCTCTCTCTCTGTCTTCATTCACGCTTCCTTTCTTTCAGTCCTGAACAACTTAGGAAGCTGATCCCCTACATCTCTCAGTTTCAGATTCCTGACGATTCAGGGTACGAGTCCTCCTACTTTTATTACCTTACTGCGACATCTTCAGGCCATATTAAAAGCTGCAGTGCACACTATATAACCTCTTTTGTTCTGCATGCACCCTCTTTGCCCCTCTCCTCATCTTGCATCACTCATTCATAGTTGTTCTGAATTTTGTTTTCTTAACTAATATGCTTATAAAATATGAGAATGTTTTGATCCCAAGTTTCAAAGGTAGAAAATGCATGCGATAGTAACCAGTAGGCTAGTTCTTGGTAATAAGGTGCTACCTTTGGTCCAAAAAAGTGAACTGGGGGGTGTTTCACAAAGATCCTAATTCGAACTTATCTCTAAGTTGGACTTGTCAATTATGGAAAGCCGTTAGTATCTTTGAAAATATTTTGTAAAAGGAGATTTCATGTACTTGATGTGGAATTTATGAAAAGCCTAATATACTTCAATTTTTGATTTTGAATATATTCTATTTGAAGGCTACAAATGGCTCTCCATAATGTTTAAGTCCAACTTAGAGTTAAGTTCAACTTAAGATCTTTGTGAAACACCCCCCTGGCCGAACATTATCAGAGGGAAATGAATTAAGAGGAGCCACAGGAACAAAATTTGGCACATTGAAAATATGCATTTTTTCCCCTTGTCGATACCCTTGTTCGGGGAAAAGTCACCCTTGGTATTTCTCTTTCTGAAGTCCCTCATGCTGGGTGTTGGCACTAAGTGTGTTAAATGCTCTGGTGGGAACCTTGGCCACCAGTACCACAATATATCAACTTATATCTAAAACTGAAAGTAAATTATATTCATTTTTCTACCGAAGTAGAACAATACATGGTATATACATATACATGTAGTACATTACTTGTAATCTATCTGCATGTAGATATTGGTTTGTCTACATTTAGCATGAGGCTGTTTGCATATCAAATGATTATTGCAAGGACTGTTCAGCTAGCTAGGTATTGTGATCTCTAGCAATTGTTGGTGTTATGTTAATAAACTTACCAATAATATACATGTAGGTTTAAGATGTAGCATGGTCCATGAGGGCAAATTTAATAATTTCTGCTTTTCTTGCCCAACAAAGTATGTCAGGGTGAAGTACCAGCATGGTTTGCTCAAGTTTTTGACCAACATTTATATATCAATTTTCAAGTTGAGATTTATACACATAGAATATACGTAGAATAGTCGATTATGTGATTATTAAATACCCTTTTTGCTTCCTGCTACATGTAGGCAACAGAAAATGCTTTAAAACAGATTTCTCTGCAAATTTTGGGTGTATTGTATGTAAACGAAATGCGTATATCGGTACTCTAAAATGCAAGTAGAAAAGTCATCTATGAATGATCTGCAAGCAGTATTATTTACATCAATGTTCCTTTATTGAACACTTTGCATCTTTTTCATGTCTGTTTTTATTTTTGTTATTGCATGATATTTGCATGTTTTTTCCTCTCAATACCATGATACACTTTACATTGTGTGCCCGGAAGAAGTGTGCAAATTAATTAGGCCTAAAATTAATACATGGGTAAAAACAGACTAGATTTCTAGAAAGGTATATTTTAAAGTGCTTACCTCTCTTTTATTACATGTTCAATTCACACCACATTTTGTTTGGTACTTTATGTTAATCGTTCCAATGACAGGTTATAAGTTTTTTTTTGTTTTTTTTGTACCTTTCATTACAAAACTGAAAAAAAAAATCTTTAATCAGAATTCTTGTTTACTACCTTCTTCTGGGCACACAATGATTTTTATTCTTCTCAGGTTTGTGCAAAAACTTGTTTGCCAATAGACAGGTTTACTAACATGTTCAAATTTATCGATGTTTCTTTCCTGGGAACCTGGTGACAAGTTATTCCAATAATCTGCTATCAATAAATTGACTGCTACATGGAATTCTGTCTTGAAACACTACTTGTTGCTATGTTGGGCAAGCCTCTAACAAGCTTTCAAGTTGTCAAGAAAAACCTTTGTATGCAAATTATGCATGACATTTGAATATGTAAGTAAACCTGTCTCTTCAGTCAATGTGTAACTGATATTTGACAAAAAGTGAAGTGTGTTGAGAATTTAACATCATCAAATCATTGTTTCATTTGATGATCAAACTGGGACATTTGTTCTGGGCTTTAATTCTTCAAAGGCCTATAGGTGTGGTAAGTTGTACCGGTATTTGTTTTAAATAACATTTAGGTTAGGGTTAGCTAGGGCTCCAAACAAACAGGGGGACATATGTATATATATATATATGTGTACATGCCCCCCCCCCCCCCCCCCAATTTTTTTACTCCAGGTTGCCCACATTTCTGAATTTAAGCAGGGGCTCCATGCACACAGACCCTAAATAATCCAATTAGGACATTTGGCTTTACAGTTAATGTTGAGCCCTACATGTACATCAGGGTTCGATAGAATGTGTTGAGGGGTTAAAGCTGGGCCCCATTTCACAAAACTTGTCATCAGTGACACATGCCAGTTTTTGTTTTAAGCTAGTGAAATCCTTGCTTCTGATTGGTTATCAGCAGATTAGTCACTGATTTTTGTTGATTGTCTTTTATGAAAAAAAGCTTTGTTTAACAGGTTCCCGGGCTCCACACTATCTGTTTTGAAAGGGGTCTGGATTGAACCTTTTTACAATCTGTATGAATGAGCCCTATGTAAAAACTGCAAAATCATGGGGGTCCAGTCTTGGATTTTGGGGCCCATGTGTCCTGGGCATCTCTTAGTGCCCTGGTAATAGTGTTGGTTTTGGTTAGTGTCAGATATTGATAGCTGTACAAATGTCGCCAGTGCGTACGTGTATGCCGAGCAGTTGTCTTCCATGCATGTAGGTGAGGAGGATAAAAGGATGGGGTCTCGCATGATTGAATTAATAATAATAATGTAAATAGCTAGTTCTTATATGGCCCTATTCAGGACCGAATGTCCTCTCAAAGCACTTTACTGATATATTATTACCCCAGTCATTGGATTCAAGCTCACCCACACACAATGTATGCACATTCTCCACTCCCTGGGGAGCATTCCAGCCAGGCGTCATTTTTACAAGCGCACACTTGCTAATCTAAGCACATTAGCTTTCGCATCCTCCGGGTACCCAATTAACACCTGGGTGGAGAGTGGCAAATGTAGATCAATGTCTTGCCAAAGAACATTAGTGCCGCGGTGGGACTTGAACCGGTGACATATCCACTCGCCCAATCATGTACCCAACTTCCAACAAACTGCTTAAATATCTTCGTTTTAAATTTTTACTTTTGAATTAAAATTAAAAGAAGAAAAAAAATTGTTGTTGAAGGTAACAAAGGTAATCACGTATACAAGTTAAGCAAATTGGAAGAGGAAGAATGATTAAAACAATCTCAATTTACATGTGTACAACTTATATTCTGTATCTGATCTTTCTCTTCACAATACCCAGATTACATTAACCTGTGTATGTTACGATCTCTTCTAAGCGCCCCTGTTGAATATTTATAATACTTCATTTTATATCTACATCAATTCCTATATTCATCCCTAAGGGTCATGCAAATTCATATACCGGTAATCATTTTTTGCTGAAACCAATATATATTCATAAGTTTCAAAATGAAAAAAAAGAGCATTGCATACCTGCCAACCACCCCGATTTAGGCTGAGTTTCTCCGCATTTTTCATACCAACTCCGAATTCCGAGTGCATGCCTCAAAACTCCGATTTTTTAAATTTTTTTTTTTTAAATTTTTTTTAAATTTTTTTTAAAATAATTTTTTTAAAATTAATATTTTGTGTGTGCGTCCGCCATTTTCAATGGCAAAATGTCCATTCTGTCCTGTAAAGTATCCTACAAGCATCTCACATCAGCAATTTGGGGATGTTTATTCATACCTGCGTATAGCCCACGTGTATTTATATTACATGTGCAGTTGATACGCCGTGCATAAACACTGTATACATTGGCGTGTTTTCTTCTATGCTTGTGCGATGACTGCGATCGTGGAAGCTTGTTATTTACCGGACTTCCTCGGATTTATTTTGGATTACTACTACTATATACCTTTGCAAAATAGGGCTCCTAACTGAGGTGGGTAGTGAAACATGTAGTTTTGTGAGTGTTCACATTTCAAAAATTGTTTATGTGGGGCGATAAGGTTGAAGGAAAAGTCCCATTTGCACCATTAAAATGGAGAGAAAAAAAAATAGACCCTAAAGTCCTGTGTCCCCCCCCCCCCCCAATCTACGGGCTACTACCCCAATCCTTCGGTGGTTCGCGACCTCGTAGTCCATCCAGTAAAATTTACTCCTAATTTCTCTTGTCTCAGGTTGGCAGGTATGGCATTGCATGCATGCCTGCTCGCTCATGAGATAATGTTGAATAATAATAATAGCAGAGAAGGTAATGATTCCAACATCATCCAGCAATTTCTGGTACAGATTAAAAGAGATGATGTTGGCTATAATACCATGTGTAATTTATGACTAAGGCCATGAAAAAACAAAAAAACATGTTTAGCGTCCTGCTAAAAGGAGGAGGCCCTTTTTTTCTTCTCTTTTTTTTCCTTCAAAATGGCCCTTGGTACATTTTCTTTGACAGGCTATTTTTCATGATGGCCACCAGCATTGAAAAAAACAAAAAAACTCAGAAATAGATCATTTTAGCAGTAGTATGTTTTTCATGTTTGTTCATTTAAAAAAAAAGCAGGCGATGACGCTTAACATAGATTTTTGTTTAAAAATGGCCTACCGGTAAATAGTGATGCATGTGTAAGCATGGGTTTCATATGTGCCACCCCCTGATATATCATTGGTGTTATGTCCCCCCCCCCCCCAGGATCTACATGTATGTAGTATCATGCTGCATCTACATATCTCCATGCTCCACAGTACTGCAGTTTAATATCATTGTTCATAATTAGAGGATTCTGATGAGTTCAAAATTTGTAGATAAACAGGATATTCTTTCCTAAAAAGCTTTTTTGATGAGTACTCTTAAAAAAACATACATTGGAACTAAACATATCTTTTTAGTACATCAACAAATAATCTTTTTGTTTGCAAATTTCTTTTTTTTCTTCCTCCAAGAATATCATTGTGGATTTGAAAACGAATTCAGTCACTTACATTTGTACTATCTTCTTGGCTTTGTTTTGTCTTGTGAAAAGCAATCTTTGTATTCTAAAAAAGAAAAATTGATTAATACCTAATAATAAGCGTTCTCATGGCTGTGTTTGTTGTTGTAGCGAGCGATGTGGTTGGATTCCAAATCAGATGGACGTACCAGAATCCGTCATGACGGAATACCAGTGGATTATGGGGTTGTCGGTCACCGAGATGGAGATCATGCATGCTGCCTACAGGAAGACCAACCCGAACTGTAAGTACCACATCAAATTTCTTCAGGACATTGGTTTCGGGGTGCCGTCTTATAAAGAGTTATGATTGATTTGATACGTTCTAGCATTTAGCATCCTGTCTGCAAATGTCTCTCTCTCACACGGGTGTAGTACGGTAAGTTGGTTTTTATGTGTGTAGGACACGGGCGTAAATCCTTACGTAATACCTATTGTTCAGGGGGGATGATCTATTCATTCATCCCCCCCTGAACTATAGGTATTACGTAAGGATTTATGCCCATGGTGTAGGATGTATTCCTTAGAAGACGTAGCAGCTGCCGGAGCAAAATTCTTGGTCTATGGGAGTGCATGGTGCCATTGAGTGTTTGTCACATGATACAGTCAAACCTGCTTTAGTGGCCACCTGACTGCAAAGACCACATTTTTTGTTTCCCTTGAAACTGGTTTCTCGTTGAAACCATGTACTATAGGAACTTGTACATAAAGACCACCTGCCTTTAAAGACCACCTGCCTATGAAGACCACTTTTCTTGTCTCCCTTGGGTGGTCTTTATAGACAGGTTTCACTGTTTATGCTATACCAAAACAGAATATTGTTATGCTCAATGATCCTCCTCAATATTGACTGGTATGCTCCGTCCGTTAACCTGCAGCCATATTCTTCATGAGAGGTTCCACCTTCTTGGAATCGCTCCCGGAGAAATACAAGAAGGACTTTGTAGACGTCAACCCGATCGCCCCAGAGAAACTGAACATGCTCAAACAGATGCTCAAGGAGAGATTTGGGGTGAGTTTTTAAATTTGTTTAAAATCCATTTTGTGGAATCCTCAAGCAGCTGCTAATTAATTGATTAATTGTGAACAATTAAATCTTTTATTTATAATTATGTAGTTTTATGATTAATACTATAACGAAATGAATAAATTCATTCCAAAACAGGTGCTTATACTGATTTTGCAATTTATCACCACTTAAAGGTAGGTGTTACTACGGCAGCTAGAAGGGATTAGACCACACAGCGAGCCAACGAGGTCACTGTGACAGGTGGCTATCTCATTAACTCAGCTCTCATTTAACATAAGAAAAAGAGGATCATGGGGGACCAACAGGCACCAATTTGGGAAGTTTTCTATATAGAGGGAGCAAGTAGCTACAAGTAGGACAGTGTGCCTTTAAATAAATTCATAAAACTATATGTAGGTAGAGCTGAGACTGGAAATGGTAGCTTGCGAAATATTTTTCATTGATGCAACTGATTTCTTCATTTCGATTCACAGACTAATCAAGTGCACTTCTATGAGTGTCAGTATAATGGAATTGGTGATGACGGACAAGTAGAGTTATGTGGAATGGATTCACTCAGAGATAAGGTAAGGAACAGAACTTGTTTTTGTTTTTCAAATGATATTTTATTTGGTACTCAAAACAATTTAACATGATATAATATAATACAGAGTTATGACATACAGTAGGCTTGCGGGTGCACCATGTAAGAGAGGGGGAGAGGGTTGAGGAGTCCTGGAAAGGACTCTGACTCAGTAATCTTTCTTGGGGGTGTGTAGTCCCGAAAAGGACTGTTTGTTATCTTTCTTAGCTTATAGTTCTAAGGAGAACTATAGCGCTTGGAGAGGATGAGTTATGACATGATTAATAAAGATAATATTATAAAAGCATTCTATTACATCTTGTAAAACATAGCATAGGAAATCAATATTAAGGAAGAGAATTGTTTTCTTGTGGGTTGGCCTTTTAAATGATGTACCGGTATGTTTTGGGGCTTTAACAAAATTCAGGCTTAGAATTATTGTCAATGAGTAAAGGAAAGGTTTTTCAGATTTTCTTTTTGTGTTTGTTTAAGTGTGTGTTTGCCTACAAGCATTGAAATGGGTTGAAGTTTGCTGACTGAATTTTGAATAAGAGTTGGAACCCCCACCCATCTACCTAATCCCATTTGTGTATTAATATTCTGTGGCTTGAGTTATAGGAACTGGAAATTAGCTTTTGAATAGTTTTTCCATAAAGTTGGTGCAATCCAAATGGTTATCATTAACATTTTTACAGGGTGCTTGGAAGATCAATTATAATACGGATTGGGCTACCCTGGGTATTAAAACGAGATATATTTGTTAGATGATAACATGTCTGATGCATTGAACGTACCTCGCGGCCTGCAGGTGTTTGAATTCTTCACGGAGCGAATCTCTGAGCAGTACCCCCTGGACGATCGTCCCTTGGACCCTTACCAGCAGGCCAAGGAGGCCCACGAATCCTTCATGAAGAACAGGAGCGGCTGCGTCTTGGGACGGACGGTCATCCTGGAACAGATCAAGGACTACGTGGTGGGGATGTCGTCCACCGCGCCCGTCCTGCTCCTCGGCGGACCGGGCACGGGCAAGTCCTCCATCATGGCCAAGGTCGCGGAGGTGTCGGTGACCAAGGCAGCTACCAGGGAGATACCAGGGTAGGTGTTATGCATGCATGAGAAGTTGCCTGTCCTACTTTGCATTTGGTGTAGTTAAGTTAGGCTTTAGGATAAGAAACATGTCGGATCACAAAACCTTAATGACCATAGGAGGCGCGATAGCTTAGTTGGTAGACCAGTGGTCTCGTAATCCGGGGTCGAAACCAAGTCGACGCACCATAGTGCCCTTTGGTAAGGCATCAATCCTCATTACCAGGTCTCTCAGAGAGGACCTAAAGCTGTCAGTCCTCTGGTTGCTTACTAACAAGCATTTATGCTTTCTTAGCAGTCAGGTAAAATAACCATCACTATAACAGGGATGTCAGTTTTCAGGCAATAGCCTGAATTCAGGCCCTGGCAAGTTATTTTCAGACCATATTTTAGGCTTTTTTATGTACAAAATAGCTCATTCTAGATGAATTTCAGGCCCTCTGATCAATTCTAACTGGCATACCTGCCATAATGTATATTTGAAAGAAAAATGAAAAAATAGTCGCCATTTGCAGTATGTTTATGTCATGTATACTAGTGAATAGAACCAGATTAATGATTATTTTTCCTGTATTTTTTGTTGCCAATTGACGGCACAGATCTCCCGAGATTGGATGGCACGTCTTCTACCACTTTGTAGGGGCTGTCCCTGGATCCCCCAACCTGGAGGTGGCCCTCAAGAGATTCCTTAAGGAGATAGGAGCAGTCAACGTAAGGCACTTTTGAATCTTTATTCGTTGCAGACTGAAATCCTACTTTGCTACATTATTGTCAATACTGTATTTTCCGGCGTTAAGGTCGCATCGCTGTATAGGCTGCTCCCCTGATTTTTACATTTCGTAGACAAAAAAAATAATTTTGTTTCCCTTTTTTGCCAAGATATCGTCTTATTTCAACCTTTTCTCCGGCCGCAGTTGCAGTCGTTAGTGTATTGCGACATAGCTAGCTGGGCTCGCGGGGGCTGCAAGGATTGCTTTAGCGATGGCACAAATTTAGATTTAAATCTACCAGTAGTTTTTGTTTGGTAAGTTATGAAGTTTATTTACGAAATTGACAAAACTTTGCCCTTCATGTCAACACTATAACTCAAAATCGTCGGTAAGACGTGTTTTTCTAGAAATGTCCAGTACCATTCATTGTAGTCCCATATTTATGAATTTGTGCTGTTTTCATGGTTTTGACTTGTGATTTTTTACTCTTGTGGCGCAAAGGCTGCACCCAGACTTTTTGATATTTTCTCTGTGTGACAGGAGTCGATTGTGGCAGTTTTTTATTTTGTTCCATCAGTTGACCTAAGAAGTTAGAGAGTTTCTTTGTCTGAAGACCATGGACAGCTTAGAGGAAAAGGTCTTCTAGAGTTCATCCCAACTCATTACATTAATGACACTCAAAAGAACATTAATCATAAAAAGTTAATATACCCTTCTATAATTTTTTGAAGTGCCCATCCCCCCCCCAAAAAAAACATCACACATAAAAAAAATAAAAAGAACATGCATACAATTCGTACACATCCCATTTTTATGATAGAAGATATAATTATTGGTTATCTTGCTGTCTATAAACATGGGGGGTGTTTCACAAAGATCCTAAGTATAACTTACAGTATCTCTAAGTTGGACTTAACAATTATGGAAAATTGAAAATATTTTGTAAAAGTTATTTTACAAGGCATAAAATGTTGATTCAAATCATTCGTATTTTCCATTGTCAAGGAGATTTCACGTTCTTGATGTGGAATTTATGATAAGTCTAAAATACTTGAGTTTTTGCTATATATTTTATATATATATATTTTATTTTAAGACTACGAATGGCTCTCCATAATTTTTAAGTCCAAGTTAGTGTTAAGTTCAACTTAGGATGTTTGTGAAACACCCCCATGGACATGTACTTAAAAGCAATTCTCTAAACTATATGTATATTTTTTTTTTCTCCAGGAGAGTCAGATGCCCAAGGATCTTGAAGAGACCTGTCAGGTGACCTATGCAGCTCTGTCTAACCCCAACACCAGACCTGTCATCATCATCATTGATGCCCTCAACCAGGTAAAGTGTTCCATCATCCACAGGGGTCCCTTCAGACCTAAGGCGATAAACCGCTCTAACTTATAGTAGTGTCTTGTCTAACTCCAACACCAAACCTGTCATCATCATTGATGCCCTCAACCAGGTAACGTGTTTCATCATCCATAGGGGTCCATTCGGGTCCATCCAGGTCCGTTCAGACCTAACGCGATAAACTGCTCTAACTTAAAGCCACACTGTCTTACTGGTAGCTACTTGCTCCCTCTATATAGAAAACAATGCGTAATTGATGACCATTGGTCCCCCATGATCCTCTTTTTCTTATGTTAATTGAGAGTTAATGAGATAACCACCTGTCCAGTGACCTTGAATGGTGGTGCAATCCCTCCTATAAACTACTACAGATAAGTTTTAATATAATAGTGTAGTGTTTTCTAAAGGTCTAAATGAATCAGCTTTTTCACCTCAATTTGGCAACAGTCATTTGTTAGATTATACAGAATTTCTGTTTTGGAGAGAGAAAATTGCATAAATTGAAATACATTTAGACAGGTCATAACTCATTTCACTTGTTTGATTGGATGTTATGAGCACTCTTTTTTGCGTCAGTTTGAGGAGAGCAAAGAATCTACAGTGTTGATGTGGCTTTCTGACAAGTTTGCGCCATAAATCTGTTGCTTTTTCAGTTTTTTCCTTATAATTGTCCTCTTTATCCTGGTCCAAATGAGTTATGATATTATTACATGACATAATCCTTCATCCCCACTTCTGCAGTTTGAGGAGAGCAAATAATCTCACGTGCTGACGGCACCACAAATTTGTTGCTCCCTGTTACTTTTCTGATTTTATCCATCGTTCTCTCCGTTCCGTGGAGTTGTGTTCAAGGGATCCGGTAACTTTGTGTTAGATCCTTTAAAAAAATCCTTGATTTACACATGTAGCTCATGCTGCAATGATAATTATAAACCTTTTGGTCAGTCAGGAACCCCATGACTTTTACAAGCCGATCGCCTGTCTGATTATCAAGATGTTTATGATTGAAAATCAAAATCAAATTTTTGCGTTTGCCAAACGGTTTTCATAACACTACAGTCTATTGGGAAAAATGAGTATGATAAAACCGGTTACTCAAAAGTTTTTACTTTTTTGAGGCACTTCTTGATCATTTTGAAGCGCAATATTTTTAGAGCTTCAATATAACACCTTATCACACACACTGATAACATGTAGGGCTGTGCATCTCAGATTTAACATTGTTAAACGATCCCTTTAAAGTAAAATTTTCCCTTATCATCTCTTCTGTATTCCTGCAGTTTGATGAGAGCAAAGAGTCTACTGTGCTGACCTGGCTCCCTAACAAGCTGGCGCCTCAGATCCGTTGCATCTTCTCAATGATAGACCAGACACCCCAGCATCAGACGTTGGGACTTCGATCTAACGCTCCCACCGAGATCTTTGTCACACCCCTCGATATGGAATCTAGAGAGGTGAGAACAAAATGATGATATACATACATTTACTCATATTAATTTATTCAAGTTTGACTGTAGAGCATAGGCTAGTTACATTCAGTTTTATAACTGCTTTTAAGTGCACCCTTCAATCTTGCTTTCATGTTTCCAAAGATTTCATTGACTGCTTGTAAATTTGGATGTTGATGATGATATTTTATGATGCTGCTGCTGATGATGATGTCGATGAGGACGATGGTGATGTTGATTTTGATGGTAGTGATGATGATAATATGATATTGATGTTTTTTATGATGATGATGATGATGTTGATGAGGATGATGGTTATGGTGCTAAAGATTAGTCTACATTTAAAGTGACTCTGTAACATTGTCTCAGATTCTGAAACAAAATCCTGGATTTGGCTCATGCTGCAATGATGATTATAAACCTTTGTCAGTTAGGAACCCCATGACTTTTACAAGCCGATCACCTGTCTGCTTATCAAGACATTTATGATTGGAAATGGAAATGGAAATCAAATTTTGCGTTTTTCCTAATGGTTTTTATAACACTACAGTCTATGGGGGAAAATATGGTAAAACCGATCACTCAATGTTTTTTACTTTTTTGAGGCACTTCATGATCATTTTGAAGTGCAATTTTTTCAGGGCTTCAATATTACACTATATCACAGACACTGATAACACGTAAGGCCATGCATCTCAGATTTAACATTGTTAAACGATGCCTTCAATATTGTGTGACATCTCCCTTTTACAGGCCATTGTGAAGGAGACACTTGGCAATTACAACAAGAGACTCGACGAGGAACAGATGGCCAACCTCCTGAGCAAGGAGTCTTCCCAGAATCCTCTCTGGTTGTCTGTGGCCTGTGAAGAGCTCCGAGTCTTCGGAGTCTTCTCCAAGGTTACCGACAAGATCAACAAGTTGGCCGACGGACTTCTGAAGTAAGTAACAAAGAAAGCTACAAAGCAAATCAGGGGGCGGGGGGAGGGATGGCTGGGAGTGGGGGAGGGAGAGGGCTGGGAGTGGAGGCTGTGGGATTGGGGTAGAGAGGCAGGGTGAGGATTCCATACGCAAGGGCCTTCCTCGACTTGTTGGTCTCAGGGCTTATGTATAGTTTGATTCCGCATTTATCACATCTCAGTCATGATTTATATCAAAGTATATGGCAGTTCAAGATATGAAGCATATTTCATTTTGAACAATAGAATGGAGGGTCTAGCAATAGTAGGTAAATAGTACTCTTCATTGTCAAACCTTAGGGCCATACCACGTTAAAAAAAGATTGTGCCAAGCCTTTTTCACTCTGTCTTGGAGGAGGTTTCTCAAGCAGTTGTCATAATTGCCTGTTCTGTTTTGTTATCACCTTTAGTCTCCTAGCCCAGGTGTTTGATCGATTTGAAGAAGAGAATGGAGGGGAGCTGCTGGTTGCTACCCTATGCCTGCTGGAGTGTTCCAACACTGGACTCCTGGAAACAGAACTACTGACGATCCTGGGTGATGAAGACAATCTGATGCCAAACGCTTCCTGGTTTAGTCCTGGAGCTGGGGGAGAGAAGAAAGGTAAGTAATGATAATGATGATAAATAATTTGTTTTGATATTAAACAAATATACCATGCACTGAGAGGCTCTTGTTCAAATTATGGATCGAGGTGGCAGGAATAGAGAAAATAGTGCTATTTCTGTCGCCGAGGAATCCATAATTTCACTAGTGGCTTGAATTGGGCATGATATATTTGTTTCTTATTTTTCAAACCAACCTTCATGTTCACTGTCACTGAAGTAGTGTAGAGTGCAGTGAGAGCAGCACAGACGAAAGTATACCGGGACAAATAGCACATTGATCTTGATTGATCGCATATATGACGTCATCCATGGTATAGTGCTATGGTGTAGTGCACTATACCATGGATGACGTCACAATTACAACATAGCAATGTTATGTTTGGTCACATGATGCTATGTTGACCAATCACTGAACAGGATTTCATTGATCAAAAATATAATAATAATAATGATAGCAGTAAAAATGGGGCAGCTTGTAATATTTGCATCATATCGAATCCAGAAATCCAGCAGAAAAAATTCAAATATTGACATAAGTGTATAATAGTAATAACAATAACAACAACAGCAATTTCAACAACAGCCTTTGGTCTGTGAATCTTGGGGGCATATTTTCTGATGAATAAGTAGTCCAGTCCTTAACTAACAGAATGGCACATGTTTGGCATTCTTTGATAGGGGGCTCTGTGCATCCAGACAGTAATGTGACTATTAAAGATAAGATGAAAAGATGAATCATCTGTTCTTTCTTACCTTTTTAGACTCCAGGGAAAAGAAAGAGAAGGACATCGGCCCACTGTCTGCTCACAAGTGGGCCCGGGTGTTCCGTGCTCTCAAACCCTTCCTCAGGCCGTTTGGAGAGAGTGGAGAGGGGCGTCTGGACTTCTACCATCGCTCTCTCAGCAAAGCTGTCAGGAAAAAGTAAGAAACACAAAGAGCGTGTTAATAATTTTGTATGTATAAATAGTTGCACATTTTGTTTTGAAAGTGGAGAGGGGTGTATTAATTTTTACCCTTGCTCTCTCAGCAAAGCTGTTAGAAAAAATAAGAAACTTTTAAAAGAGATTGTAAATAATTTTGTGTATATATAAATAGTTGCACGGTTTGTTTTGAAAGTGGTTCATTGAATTGAATCTATTTGAGGGAATGGGGAGGCTTGTCAGGACTTCAACTATAATACCTCTTTTTAGTGTTAAGGAAAGCAAGGAACTTACCAGAATCTAAAGAATTGTGTGTTCATTAACGGTCGCACATTTTGTGTTGAAATAGGTTCATGAAATTAAGACTTTCCAGGGCCAAATTTTGTTTCTGGTGATGATACTGCATTACAAAAGAAATCCGCTGAAAATTAGTTGTATAAAGTGCAGATGGGTTATTTTGGCCAGAATGTAATTCAATTGTGGAAACATGTCTGGACTGCAGCATTAACCTTAGGGTATTAACACATACACACATATGATATCCCCATATGAGACCATGTGTTCTATTCTTCTATTTTATTGATGAGCTTGATAATATTTCTGTGCAATTTTCTCAGTTGTCGCAAATTTTGCTTCAAATCTGGTTAGCAGATATCGAGGATATCAAGTATTTGCATGTCTCCCCCCAGAACCCCTCTAACATCATGTGTTACTCATGACTTTCTTGGTGTTGTAATGCTAGAATATCCATCTGTTTTGTTCAGGTATTTGAAGAAGAATGGGGAGGAGGATCAGAAGAAGTACCACTGGTGGCACACCAAACTAGCCGACTTCTTTCAGGGAGTCTCAACTATCGAGAGGAAATGTGAGGTATGGAGTGTTCCGTCAATCTTTCAGTCGGCTCTTGGCTTAGTAACTGGCCATGCCGAAAATACCATTCCTCTTTAATAATGCCATTCCCTTTGAGATTTGCAGTAAAAGAGTATGCCTGAGTCATTCTAGAAAGGCATTTTTGTATTTACCTGCTGTTAGAAATAAAAGTGTATTGCTTTTATTTAAAGCCCCACTGTACTACTTGTAGCTACTTGCTCCCTCTACAGTATATAGAAAACAATGCCTAAGTGGTGCCCGATGATCCTCTTTTTCTTACGTTAATTGAGAGCTGAGTTGATGAGATAGCGCCCTGTCAGTGACCATGCTAGGTGGTCTAATCCCTCCTGGTCAAACTAGTTCAGACAGGCTTTAATGAAACTTTGTCATCAAATGGATGTATGTATAGTAATAGTAATGTAACTACATATCTATCGTACACACCTTCATCCCACAAGATGCTCAAGGCGCCTACAAAGTCCTGTTATTACCCTGCCTTTAGTCCAGCTGCCCTAAGGCGCTCATCCCATCGTCAGACATGAATACTCAGAAGGCCACCAAGACTGACATGTCAGCCTTATAGGATGTCAGTCTCTTGAACTCTTGCATTACTTATTCAGAGCTGTCAACCATTCCGTTTTTCCCGGAATTATTACTTTTTTTCATCCCAATTACTTTTTTTTTTACAAAATACGTTTTTTAAACATTTTTTATAGTTTTTATTTTTTTTATTTTTTACATACCGCACGTCAAACAAGTGCCCTAAAATGTTATTTCAATCACAAAGTCAATAGAAAACTAAAGTTAAAACATACTTGAAGAGAAAAATATTCTCGAAAAGAATGAAATGCCAATAATACCAAAATAACAACAACAAAATACCTACTTGTAAATAACTATAGGTCGTAATTTGGAGAAAAAAACTGCATGAAGAATGGACATTTTTGCATTGGAAGTGTGTCGCGCGTGGTTGTAAGTTTTGTTTTAATGAATTTTTTTTTTTGCTTGAAATTTCTTCCTTTTTTTGGTCGCACAAAGTTGGCAGCTCTGCTTATTTAGATGGCTTTTGAAACCGATCTCATGGACCGACGTTACTAGCGAGACCCTGAAAGATATCAAATGTTTTATGTGCAGCTCTTTATTCTTTCGCTGTTCTTTTCCTTTCTATTTAAACATACCTCTGCCTCAATCGCATCTTTGTAGGAATATCCTTTCCATCTGAGCGTGATCAAAGATGAGAGACGTCTAGCAGCCTTCTTGACGGAGTGGGATGTGTTCGATGAGTTCTTCAAACTTGAGTTCAGTGCAGATCTCTTGGCATATTGGAGGAAGGTAGGTTGATGAATTTAAATTTAAAGTCAAGTATTAGTCATGTGATTGTTTTATGAAGGAGACTGTTTAGAAGTTAAAGGAAAGCTATTATTCTGCAATGTATTGTATTTATAATAATAATAGTGGGTTCTTGTATAGCACTCATGTCCGTCAAGCTTGACACTCCTAGCGCTCCACAATTATTACTCCGGCTTTAGCATGGCTGCCATTATGGGGCTCTAGCATTTTAAGGAATCAATTTCTACCAGGTAACGATTACATCACCTGGGTCAAGGGTGGCAAATGTAGATAAATGTCTTGCCAAAGGACATTGGTGCCGTGGCAGGACTGAAACCGTGAACCATTGGATTCACTAGACCATGACACCTCTACAGATCATGACCCCTCTTGTGAGGTCTTTTAATCATCAAAATAATTAAAAATTGACCCAATTTTGCTGAATATCATGAAGTGAAAAGCACTGCATGCAGGTAAGGATACATGTGACAATAAAAACATTTTGCATTGAAAGTTGGTTAAAACTACAGTGTATATATATACAATGGGACAGTGCTACAATAATATCCTTTCACACAGGAATCAAGTGTAAGAGAAAGCTAAAAACAAAACAAAATCATCCTAATTACATGTATCGCAATATTCACACATTCATTGGAAGGATGACACACATTCTTGTATATGTTTATGAGTATAAATTGAGGTATAAAACAATGTTTCCTTCAATCAATTGTTACGATACTATTAAGTAAATTAATTTGTCAAAATATAGTACAAGTAAGCCTTTAGGCTGTGATATATATCTTTAAATAACTAAACCGTTATTCCTAATCACATCAGCCGTATGTTCTTCAATTTTTCTACTGTGACTATTTGGGTATTTGTAGGCTGGTGGTCCAGAAAAAATGGAGGAATGTTACAGGAAATCACTGGAAGCCTTAAACAACGACCCGGAGGTGGAAAGAGAAGATGTCGCTCTGCGTTATGAGAAAGTTGCTAGAGTCCTGTAAGTATCACATGTCACTGGTAAAAGAGTCTTCTTAGTCTTTCATGGAATCATCTAGCCCAAAACTTAATGGGGACCATTGACCTTGCAATGTTTTTGTTTAATGATTTTAATAGACGGAATCGTCTCCAAGAAATGTAGACAACATTCAAATGATTTAAGAGAACAAGAAATCAAAGCTAGTTTCAGTTTGAGCAGTTGCAGATAAGGGCATTTTCATCAATGATCACTTTGAAAATTGGATGAATTTTCCTAAGGAATTATGTAAGTGTTATTCATTTATGCACAAAGGATACGTTCCACTGGCGGAGGTTTTCATTTGAAAATAGGCTACCAAAGGTTAATCACAAGCATCTCTATAAATAATGAGAGGAATTAAATGATTGATTGATTGATTGATTGATTCAATTGTTCATTCATTCTTTCATTCATCCATCCATCCTTCCATCCATCCGTCCGTCTGTCTGTCTGTCCATTCATCCATCCATCCATCCGTCCATCCATCTATCCATCCACCCATCCATCCATCCGTCCGTCCGTCTGTCTGTCCATACATCCGTCCTTCCATCCATTCATCTATCCATCTGTCTGTCCGTCCATCCATCCATCCATCCTCTTGTCCCCCCACCCCCATCCGTCCGTCCATTCATCCATCCATCCATCCATCCATCCATCCATCCGTCTATCCATCCATCCATCCATCCATCCGTCCATCCGTCCATCCATCCATCCATCCATCCATCCATCCATCCATCCATCCATCCATCCATCCATCCATCCATCCATCCATCCATCCATCCATCCGTCCGTCCATCCATCCATCCATTCATCCATCAATCCATCCATCCATTCATTCAATTTGTTTGTTTATTTCTTTCATGTATTGTTTATTTGTATGATTGGCAGGATGCAGGCCAGTCAGCTGAAGACGGGTTACTCCATCCTAGAGACGGCCATGCAGATGGAGATGGATGAACTAGGAGCTAGAGAGGAGAGGCTGCTCGTTCTCTATGATCTGGTTGCCAGCTGGAACAACGAGGTAAGTAACAAAAGTCTTCTATTTCTTTGACTGTGGTATCTGGTAACACCGTTACATAACTGAACATTTTTATAGTTTGAATCGTCACACAAAAATAATATACATTTTTACTGGTAATTTGAATTGTACAAAAAGTATGCGGTAAAAATTTACTTACCTGTAGGTGGAACCGTGCAAATATTTTTCAAATGTAATTTGTAACATCGTTGGCAAAAAATACAAATCTCCCTTGTTGGTTATATTGTGAATTCATAGTGAAATCTTGGAAAAACACATTAGATCATTATCTGATTATTCCTTGTCATGTGTTAACAGCAATGAACAAGTCGACTACTGCTACCACCAGCATACACATCCGCTTTCTGAAATTATGTCTCGTTAAAAAACTGATGGCATTTTGATTTTGTGTAATCTCCTTTTGTTCAGCTTCTAACGCTTCATGACTGGATTACCACGAAAATGTTCCCCAACCTTCGACCGTCAATCTCAAATCGTCGCAAGTCCTTGGCTATCAGCAAGAAATTCCTGGACAGGGGAGAGTCCTTCAAGGTAAGATTAGTTGGGCCAGAAGAATTCCTTTATTACTAGATTCAAGAGCTAATAATTGAAACCCATAATGGTTTTTTCCTCTATCCTCTCTTTTTCATTAGGAGGTATGAATTTGTAATGCATTTGCATTGTGAGAAAAAAATTGAGAAATTACTCTGAATGGTTGATGAATAGTGTAGTAATTCAAACTAATTATGTTTTATGAGTTTTTGGAATCAGTTATGATAATGATACATGGGAGTTTGCAATCATGTGGCAGTCAATATACATGTACTAGTATATTAAGTTTCTTAATACTACATGATTAACTATTTACATCGTATATGGAACAAGAAATTATTCGCATTTCCTACCAACAAGAACTACCCTTTCAGAAGGAAAAGAATTTCAATCCATGTGAATTCTCTGTATGACATATTATCAGTGCATGGAACATCCTGAAGAATGGCATTTTTCTCCCTCCTTGAAATCCCCTGTTCAGTTTAAGCGTGCCTTCTCTTTGATGAAACTGGCATTCAACCTGAAGACGTGGTACGTGTTGAAAGGAGACAATGAGATGTCGGCTACAGAGGCCATGGATCTTGGGTTCGCCAGCTTGAAGGAAGCCAAGGAACTCTTCACAGAGGTAAGCATTAATGTGAGAGGAAGAAAGCTGCTGATGACAGTAGCGATTGTGGCTGTGGTGATGATAGTGATGGTGGTGTTGACGGCGGTGATGGGTGACGTTAGTGATGATAGTAGGGACTTTTAGATTTGCATGACGAGAACGTGGACTGCTATGTGTGACATCCTTTAATCTGACGTCCTTTTTGTGGTTGTGGTAATGATGGTGATGGTGGTGTTGATAGCAGTGATGATAGTGATGGTACATACTGAGGCCATGGATCTTGGTTTCGCCAGCTTGAAGGAAGCCAAGGAACTCTTCACAGAGGTAAGCATTAATGCGAGAGTAAATAGTTCAGGAGGGCAATGGATACAAAATGAGGGTGATGAGGATGATGGTGAATTTGGTGGATAATGGCTGATGATGATGATGATGACAGTAGTGACCATGGTGGTGGTTATGATGGTGGTGACAGCAGGGATGAGTGATGAGAGAATGATGGTAGCGATGATGGTATTGTCGATGATGTAGATGATGATGATGATCATGACAGCGGTGAATGTGGTGGTGATGATGGTGATAGTGGTGGTGGTTTTGATGATGAGGGTGGTGAAGATGGTGGTGATGATGGTGATAATGAAGGTGGTGATGATGGTGATGATGGTGATAATGATGGTGGTGCAATTCTGAAAGGTGAGGATGATGATGATACGACAATCAGGAGGTACAGAAATTTACCACTCTTTTTCTAGTGCAAATTATCCATTTTCATTAAAATAATATTTTTTTTCTTTGGTACGTTTCACAGATAAACGACAAGGGACATTTGGCCGAGTGCTTGATGAACGAATCTCTTCTGGTTGGTGAGACAAAGCAAGTGGATGCATTGGAGGTAAATAATAAAGCAGACATGACTGAATAGAGGTACCAAATTAGTTGTAAACTCTTGAGATTTAAGATCCAAGATTTATTCATTCCATTCAATAAAAATATATGTACATTATTAACAAAATATTACAGGTGTAGTAAAGAAATACAAATTATACAAACATGAGAAGGTCACTGATCAAAACATACAAAGGAAAAGAAATCAAATGGAAGTTGGGTCTCTGCAAAAGTTCAAAAAATTTGAACTCGTCGAGGCTGTGCCAAAGGTTTGAATTAAAATATGTTTGCAATGGATAACTATGTACATAAATAATATACTGGATGATAACAAAAGAATACAAAACGAAAAAAAAAAAAAAAAAAAAAATATATATATATATATATATATATATATTTAAAATAAACATATGTTATCAGTGAAGAAGGAGTAATTTTTGAATTTCTTTTTATCACATGAAATAGTATACAGGGGGTTTGATTTTCTGTCTTGTTTAAAATCATAATATTTGTGTACATGTTAATGATTGGATTATGTTTACAAAAAGGGAAATAGGATGGGGAATCATAAAAGCCTTTAATATGTTGGGAATGATTTTCTAGAATTACACAACAAATGTTGAATCACAAACTTTTGTTTACTGGTATAAATTGTTTAAAAAATACTTGAGGATCTAGGATAGAGGAAAAGGAAAAAGGGATAGAACATTAGAGAAAAAAAAGTACATTTCAATGCTTTGCTAATTTCCTGTTGAGAAAAGGTTGTTCAAACGGCTTGAAATCACACTCCTGGTCTGACGTCACTTCAATTCTGAGCCGATATAGCCTTTCCTTCTCCTAGGAAGCTTGAAATCCCTTAAACTTTAAATTTTATGAAGTATATGCCTATTCAGATCCTTGATCATTAAGATTTTAAAAGTTTGAATGTTCATGTTTAATGCAAATTCTTTCTAAAATCAGATTTTAGTCGGATCACGTTGTGTGCAGTGGGCTTAAATGTGAACATTTCATTCCATGTACATGTAAATGGCTGTCAGTTACGATAATTTGCGAAAGTTTCTAAGGTGAAAGTATTGAATAGAATTTTAATGAAATCCAAATCCCCTCTGTCTCCCTCTTTGACAGATCTTCAAGAGGGCAGAAGAACTATGCCTGGAGGCGTACGGGGAGATGAGCGTCCTGGCGAGTCGTCTTTTCACCAACATGGGCATCCTCCTTGAAGAGATGAGACAGAAGGAAGAGGCATACGATTACTTCGTCAGGAGTAGGGAGATCAAAGTGGCTGTAAGTATTTTTGATTGTAGAATTCTGAAATGTTGCATAACCCAGCACATAATGCTTTAATGATAATACTATTAGATATTTAGAGCCCCCCAAATAAAGATGACCATAGTCCTTATCCTTATCAATAGGGCGAGTCCAAGCTATTTTATCCCATACGTTACTGACCACGTAAAATATTTTAGTATATCTCACAATTGTATTGAATTTATAGTTCTACTATAGCTTAGATCGGACTAAGTATGAAGTCAAATGACATATCTTTGATGTAGATAGTAGTTGAGAACTCCATAATACTTGATAAGATGTGGGACACTCAATTACCAAAAAGCTTGAACATGCCCGAAAGTACAGTGGACCAACCTCACAAACCTGATGTAAACCCAACGTCTGCTTGACTTGCTGGCTGTGACCATGCAAACCATTATGGTCCTTGGCCCGATGTTGTCACTGAACTCTGTTAAAAGCTGAGAGACTATTCATAAGCAAATATTTTTGTCAGCATGAGTTGAAAGATGAAAGAACCCAATTTGATTCCGCTTCATGTGATATTTCTCAAACATCTTTGTTTGACAACAATTGTTAGAGGTATAATTTGAGCTGTGTAGGGATTGTCCCTGAATCGAGATCTATACATGACAATGATTTTGCTCATTCGAACAACAGCTAATTTTCTCTGTAGAAAATATCGAGAGTTCAGTGACACAAAGACGTAACTCCATATTTTTCCAAAATGAGTATTTGATATCAAAATATTAAGAAAATTGTGGGCTTTCCAGGAAACATAAAGACTTCTCTCTACCCAACACCCCATTGAAGTCAATGGTTAGTAAAACATAGACTTAACTCCTTAAGGCCCAAGTGGACCTCTATCTTTAAATCACTTTTTCTCAAAATGGCCAAAATGTAGTTGCGTCTTTGTGTCAATTCAATTCAATTCAAGTCACTGACCCCTCGATATCATCATGCTGATTCTCATTTAAACCCCAGTCACTCCACTCCACCAAGACATTACCCTAGTTTGTCAAGAATTGGTCAGTTTAGCAATGCCACTTAATTGCTTGGGAATGAATAATTGTACATCAGCATGGGTACCTGGCAGGAATTAATTCCTTTACATGCTAGAGCGCTGTAATGGCCGCCTTGCTAAATCCAGGGTAATAGTCGGGGCAGCGCCAAGAGCGTCACAATGTGGCGGACATGTGAGCTATATAAGAAGCCATTATTATTATTATGATTATGCTTTCTTTTTCCATCAGGTGTTTGGTCCAAAGCATCCTCAGACCCAGCGGCTCGATAGGGTGTTAGCCGAGGAGGATTATGCTGCCATCGCAAGACGGAGAAATACCATCGATCAGAATCAGGGCTATTAAATAGGTACCAGTGGAACATCAAAACTTCAAAGCATGCTATTGGTGTTTGAACATTACCTTATAGTGGAAACTGGTAAAATATCAATTTTCCATGAATCTGAGATAACTACGACCCTTTTATTTTCAAAATAAAGCATTGCTGCAAGTTTAGTAAAGTGTGACAAAAGTCCATTGAAAATAGGCTACTAAAGTTCACAGAAATCGGCAAAACACACATTAAAAAAAAATAAAAAACTAGATTTAAATCATTTTCGGCCAAAAGAAATTGAAACTCCTCAAAATGGCAAATTGTTATGTTTTTCCATCAATCCAAGCTAACTGTGACCTGTGAACTGTAGATTGCATAGAATATAACTCCAAATTCCTTGCAAAGTGGCAACAAACCAACATTTGACAAAAATCACAAGGGTTTTAAACCGCTAGTTTATGATTTTTGGCCAAGCATTGAGAATTTTCATCAGGGCCTATTTTAATGTTTTTTCTAGTAATCGGAGCTTAATGTGACCCTGATCCATTGAAAATAGGGTATTACAGCAAATACCATGAAAATGATTTGGCAAGTTTTAATCAGTATAACCTGACCATACACTAAAGAACTCTGTCTACCCATCAATATATTTAGCTTTAAATAAAATGTGTTTGCTTTGCATGCCCAAGCTCTTTCATGTATCATATATGTTTAAAAGCAACTAGATTTTTATAAGACTAACATTTGTAAGTTATTTTGTTAAGCTTTTCTGTACAGCGTAGAATACAAGTATTGAGACTGTAAATTATTAGCGTAGATATTTCAGTGTGATACCATAAGTCTGTTTTTTGTGTGAACATATTTCATTTTCTTATTAATATGATCAAGGACATTTGTGTTCTTTCTGTATATAGTTAATTTTCTTGACTTGGAGAGAAATGCCACAGTAACCTCATATTTGAGACATGTCTATTTTGATATAGAATGCGATATAGTTTTGTAATGTTACCATGTTTGATATTTTAAAACAATGTTATTTATAGAGTAATAATGCTTCTATTAAAAAACATTTTTATGAACATTTTTTTTTTTAGACAAAGAAGAGAGATTGATAAATTGATATTTTGGGGCAATTTCAGGATTAGGCATTGTTTAGTATTGCAATGAATTATGTAACTAGAATGATGCATTCATCTTGTAAAGAATAAGAAGTCTTGCTACTTCTGTCTTGAAATAATGTTCATTTATCCTCTTTTTATTCAATGTTGAAATTCTATTGAAAGCTACTGATCTTTGGATTGCAAAATATGAATTTATATTTGTTTTCTTTTCATTTTTAAACTGATGTTCATTTTTTTTTTGCAACTAAGAAACAAAGAAAGCATCCACGGAAGGCAAATATTAAATGTTAACTGCAATATGACGTCTCAAAAACCTTGATGTGTATATAAGAAAAAGAAAAGGCTTCTAAGAAAAAGGGTATGTACATTGATAAGAAAGACGCCCTTTTATATTTTACATATATGTATTACTTTTTGTAAAGGGGGGGGGGGGCAATTAAAAAATGTGTTGTTGAATGTAAGCTACATATTGGAAATTTACACATGTATTGAACCCGTCAATTACAGAGACTTGTTTCATAAAACTTTTATCAAATCAATAACAAATGTGAAATTTCTAGGACAAATTTGCTCTTGGCCAATCAGAGGCCACAATTTCAGGAGCTTTTAAGAGTTATTGTAACTCGTTGTTGATAAAAAAGTTTAATGAAACTGGGCTCTGATTGTAGACCAGCCAAATTAACATAATGCTGAAATAAAGCTTGAAGAAATTGCATATGCAACTTCAGAACCCATGTTCTAAATTGTATCAACTTTGACGTTATTTAGGGTGTTTTAGTATTGGCTTTATGCTGAAATCCAAATATATACTTTTGAATCCATTTTATACAAAGAAAACGTGCACAATATGTGTTCTCAATTTCGGTCTTTATTCACATACATTATTCCCTCTTTCACTATGCAATAAAGAGTACATTGATAGTATTACCTAAATACGCACTGTGTGCCCTATAATTTAAAATAATACATGTATCTCAAGGATTACATTATTTATTAATTGTACATGTATTATTTATCTGCCATTCAATCATATCTTCTGCATCTGATTTGTAGATATTGTTATTCCAATGAGACAATATGAGCTGAGGTAATCATGGATTTTGTTTCAAAGGGCAACTGTTCTGAAATAAATATTCATCATTTATTCCCCCTTGTTTGGAGCCCATGAAGTACGTGTATAAGTTAAATTTGACCCAATACCCTATTATGTACAGAAAATTTATCAAATATAAAACTCAGATTTTGTTTTTTCTCATCATAAACTAGGGTTTTCTGGATGATTTGGCTATTGATACTGTGCAGCATATCCCAATTGATTTGCCTTTTCTCTGTTAATTCAATGGAATGCCAACATTGTGGTTCCATTTTATTTCAATATATGTAAGTGCTGCACCATTCATAAACCCCCTACAGAAACGATTCTTGATGCGGCGGGATATGGACAACGGTGTGTAACGCACAGAATTGCGTCTATGTTTGTACATGTACACCAACTAATTTATCAGTGACATTTGCATTCAACTGAAAATAAAGAATATTTACACAATATCATTTTGTTTTGTCTTACATCCTTTCCGATTACTTCATTACCATTAATATGGCCCCCTTTCTTTAGATATATTAATCTCTGACATGGATACTGGTAACCCAATATCCCAGAGGGGGAAGAGTGGGAGAGAGAGAGAGAGAGAGAGAGGAGGGAGGGAGAGAGAGAGAGAGAAACATGCATAATTTTACGCATTACTGACATAAGGCTTTGAAAGGAGTTCATTGCATTGCATTATTACATACATTATTGTACAATTATATTATAAGAATTGCACCAATTCAAGTGAAAATAAAATCAATAAGGTAAATTCATTCATAAGACAGAGAAAATAAGAGTGACAACATTTGCATAAATGATGAGCAGAGCAGGGGAGAGAAGGAAAGAGAATGAGGGATGTAGGGAAATGGAGAGAGAGGGGGGGGGGGGGGGGGGTAGGGTGAGGAATAATTGATATTGAAATCCTTAAATTACATATCATAAGTCCCTGTCATACATGTAATTTGTTAATGGAAGTAAAACGTCTCTCACCTACAGCGTAACAAAGATAACATGAAACAATACACAAATAAAATTTGTACAGAGCAAATACAACTTTGGACTTGTAATCTTACAATGTTATAAACCTTAAGGAACAAAACCATTATGAATGACAAACTATTTTTAAGTTAGAGTCACAAAAAGCAAAGCAATATCAAAGCTTCTGGACAAAACAGGTCAACAAATTCTTCTTAGTCAAAGGTTATCCAGCTACATGTACACAAGGTGAATTTCTAAAGTTTCAACTGCCAGTCTTCACTCAGTCTTTTTTTTATCAACAAGCAAACATAACGAGTCTGAAGGTACATGTAAAGGTGAAATATAAATTAGAAATGAATATACTCTAAGCAAGTCACTTAATATATTTGTAATAAATCTATTGCTCCTACAAACAGTGTACCTACTAATGTACACGTTAAGCTTTTATCATATTTGTACAAGTAAAAAAGATTGCTGCGTAAGCTTACAAGCAATGATGGGGGCCGAGGCGTAATATGAACGTCATTTCAAGATTCTGTCCTTATCTTGGTCTCGGGGGCCCCTGGTCTTGACTACCGCACTTCTTTGTAACCAGTACACAACTAATTTCTTTTCATGACAAAGGTAGCTCTAAAAATAGAAATCATGATTTGAATTTAAATTCACAATTTGTGATTAGAATCACCATGATTTTAATTGTTTGAACATGACACATCCATTTATCATTTGACTTCTCTTCAAGCGCTCAATACAAAATGTACATATCCTTTTGAAAACACAAATATGTATACACTAGAAAATAGTAATACAGATCATCAATTCATCATAAATAAATTAACTTTCAAACACTTCACACAGCAGAGGTTGAAACTTAACAAAATATTTACATAAGGCTTTCAACATATGAAGATACATGCACACATCAATGAGTATTTGATAGTGTATACAAACCTATTACTGTGAACATATATTAGTGGTGCTGTATCAAATCTTGGATTGTTGGCAGAACGTGACAAATAAATACTATTTTCATTTCCAGTCATGAGTAACTGACCAAAACAAAGAACCTTTCATGTGGCACTGAAAGCATTAGCGGCAGGCAATTATTCAATTAAAACTGATATTTAGTTCACATTCTGTATTGATTAGTCAATTAGTCACGTTTTGTTAGTCACCTGACAACAATTTTTAGAACTAGAACGGAATAGTCGATTGTAAATTTGTATTTTTGAAAAGTTAATTCTCTCCCTTCAAAATCATCATTTTTATGATGTTTTCTACATGTAAGTCATCCAGCAGTCACAGTCTCATCAATGCTTATAGCGCCATGCCACTGTGACTGCTGATTGCCGGACAAGCTCGAAAACATTGCAAAAAACCAAGACATTGAAGGTAAGAACTCACTTTTAAATATACAAATCTCCTCTTAAACGACCCCATCTGGTTCAAATATTGTTTAAATGTTATTAACATAAACCTGAACATGTCATTGATACAAAATGCAAACATTTGTTATTTTTTCATCAAATTATGTCTGCCACAGTGGTTTCAGTCCCACGTGATATGATTTTCATTGGTACATTTTTGGTAAAATGTTTACAACCCAGTATGCACAGATGGTTAAACAGAAATAAAAATAATTGAGGTTTAAGCACTTCTCACTATAGACCAACATCAGGTTTGTTTCTTTGCTACATAAAATACAGTTAAAATCATTCATGGGACATATACGATGCATGGTATGACCCTCTATATGAGGCCTACCGGTACTCTATATGCCATTCATACATTTCCCTGATAAAAGCACATTATCCAAAGTCTCTTGACGAAAGAAAAAAAAAAAGAAGAAAAAAGTCAATTTCAATCATCACTTGGTCTTTTTGGCCCAGTTTAAATCATCCGTCCTGGGCGAGTAGCCAGTCAGGTGAGTGATGATGGATTCCAGACCCGTCCAGAAGCCCACTGCTTCCATGGGGTAGTTGAGCCAGCCGGTGGTAATGCAGAAGTACATCTCATGGGGGGCCACGTGGTGCACCCTGTGGTGCCGGCAGGGCAGGATCAGGTGGTAGCGCTGGAGGAACTGGACCCAGGCGGGAAGCCCAAAGTAGGTGTGGGACCACTTGTGGAACTGGTTGGTCAGCGTGACAAAGATGGCGAGCAGGAGGAAGAAGCAGTGCCAGGCGTAGTGTTGCTGGATGGTCTCCGTGGAACTGCTGAAGAGGATGAAGGTCTGCGGGATGAGGCCGATCAGAGACATCATGCAGTTGTCGCCGTTGGTCTCGATGACGTCGTGCCGGGTGATGGCAGTAGGGTCAATGTGGTGCTCCCTGAATGGTCTGATGAAAGCCTGTACATGTACACAGGGAAACATAAATACAAACATCAAGACCAATCAAATATGATGGAGACCACATGTACATGCAGACTTCTAACAATACATGTAGGGCATAGTTGCTTCTATGCAACAATACTCAAGTGGAAAAATGACAAAAAGATTTAACTTCTGAAAACAGCATAATTGATGGTACATGTAACACTAATCATGTCTCATGAGACTTATATCCATCAAAACAGGCACATAGTCTTTCATATAATTATTCCTTTCTTACAAATATACATGTATATGGCGTTTAGTAGTTCATAAAAAAATGTAATTAGCAAATGAGTTTTAATAAAACAAGGAAGGTATGGTAGACTGGGGTGATTATGGCCCCCTTTTCACTTGTTGTGATTGCTGCATTATCATTAAAATTATTCAGTAATAATGGTGAATATGGGTGATTCCAAGCAAGACGGAATAACATTCATAAAGAATTTTGAGATTACAAGAATATCATGAACATCACAATAACATCAACAAATTACTAATACAATATTAAAGCAATAAAATATAGTTTGGGTTTGGATCAAAAAGTGTTCTTTTTCCAATTTTCCAATTTTCCATGACATGTACTATTGTACTACCCCAATGCTCTTTCCCTGCATTGATGAAGAAAAAAAAAACACCCCGTGAACATGGGTTCTGATGAATTTGTTTTGATTTTTCAGCCAAAACTGAAGACCATACTAATGTCCTTCGGCAAGACATTGATCTACATTTACCACTCTCCACCCAAGTGTTAAATGGGTACCGGATAGGATGGGATAGCTAATGTGCTTAGATTAGCAGGTGTGCGCTTGTAAAAATGATGCCTGGCTGGAATGCTCAAGGGTTTTGGGTGCAAAATATCCATTCAATATTCTTTAAATATTGCCTTCAGAGGTTTAGAATTTTAGATGGCAATACTGTAACCTAAATTTGCAAAAAAGCAGAAATATGTATACAAATATTCAATGTTGAAGTGCACTCACGATATCTATCCAGGCTGGATTGATATGATAATTTACCAAATATATCAAATAGTAGGCAATTTCCTGGCAAAATTACTATCATTACGTATTAGTCAAAACATATTCTTTCACATGATTGGTAATAAGAGCTTCCATTTCATTTTTTGAGAGGGGGGGGGGGGGGCATTTCCAAAATTGGTCTGTACCTAATAAGCATAGGCCTTTTACTCATTCATATTACAGACAATCACACTTACCTGCCCAACAACAGGTATTTCAATTGAACCCCATGAGTCAGCTGCCCAATGAACTAATCCAGAGAAGAAATCTGCTGTCAGAATGCCTCCAACTTTCAAACAAAGAAAACAAGTATAACTGAGAATAAATGCATATTTAGTTACACCTTTCTAGCACAACATATTTGGATATGACTACAAACTTTTATTCACTTCTGTCAAAGTTCACAAGTTGCAAACCAGAATTTTTGAAAAATTAAAAAATGTAAAGTTGGAACGAGGAAGGAGTATGAGCTGATATATATGTGAAGCATGGGTCCCTTGTGGCCGGGCTCCAGTCTTGCTTAAAATAAAGTGGAGTTCTGGTCATGCCATTGCATTGTGAAAGACACTCGATCAAAAAAGGTTGATCATCTAGCATATACATGTACATTGTAGGTATTGGTGTGTGCTGCCAAGTTCTGGAATCATCAAAATGATAAGAAATTTGGCCCAGTCTTGGTAAATTAAGTTACAAGCACTGTACACAGAAATATGTATGTGGGACTACACAAACATGTGACATAAAAATTCTGTCCTGATTTTTATGATGTTAGTTGTTACATGCCATATTTTTTAATATTAAGCCATTTGAAGAGCCATGCTTTTCAGGGAACATTTTTATCTGTTGTTCTTTCACACTTGCATAATTATACAATAACAACCCTCACAAATCATTTTTCACCTCTTCCCAGAACTCAACCTTCTTTTTGAAGGTCCAGTGAATTCCAAATATAAGTTGATTCCTGTTGATGTGCAGGGCAGCATACGACTCATATTTTGATATTCAAACATCTAGATATATCATAGATTTTTACATAAAAAAATAATTTCCTCAGACCTGCTAAGCTCCACCCTAAAAAAATGCTCCAGATCTCATTCAACTTGTGACATCATATGTCAATCATTAGTGAAGTAACAAGAGACGGTGGTATGTACATGTAACTGGCCAGCTCAGCACATACTCACGAAAGAATCACCTTTCTTTTCCTGGTGATGCTACAGCACGTCTGACATAGCAACTCCTATGTTGGTATTGTATGGCCAATTGTGTTAAACAGGTGGTCATCTCTTAAGTCTCAACACGAGGGTTCAGTGACATAAAGATGTAACTCCATATTTTGCCAAAATGAGTATTTGATATTAAAATGTTCAGAAAAATGTGGGCTTTCCAGGAAACACACAGACTTTGATAACTCCACCCAACACCCCATTGAAGTCAATGGCTAGTGAAACATAGACTTAAATCCTCAAGGCCTAAGTGCTCAGTGACACATACATGTACATGTAAACCACTTTTTCTCAAAATGTCCAAAATGGAGTTACGTCTTTATGTCACTGCCCCCTCGAACATGTTATATGATTGATTCTTTCTCACCTGCTGCAATGAAAGGAACCATCCAGTTATCAAGTCTGAGATGATACACAAGCTGACATGCAACCATCAGAGTCAACGTCATGCAGAGTACAACGCATACGATCTCTTGCCTTCGCTTTCCTGTTCACAAAATCAGAATCGGAAAGTACAGTCAGTCAATAAAGGTCATTAATGAGAAATGATGTACAACATTTGAAAGTATTCATGAAGTTAGTTCCCAACACCATTATGGAGATGGAAGTCACTGACTTTAGTGAAATACAAAAAGCAACAGTTTGGGGAAAAGAAATTACATGTTCTATTGAAGGTATTATGATATGAGGTACAAAAATACAATTAAAGATGTTGTAAGGTTTCAAATGCACATGAATAAATTACTGCATGAAAATAAAACATGCACATACATGTACACACACAATACCTCCTCCCCTCACTAAACCAGTGTTGGAGGACTAGTAGCGAAGTTCAACATGATTGGTTAAAGAAACAAAATTCCAGGATCATTATTTTGAACAAAGACCAGTTTGAAATGTAAATATATAGATCTACATTGTATACTGGTACAGGTATATGAATAATGATTTGTGGATACACTGTTTGGAGATGAGAGAAAGTATATCACAGACTGATTAGATACAGGTACTTTCTTTTTCTTGCCCAGTGAAATTCTCTGATTCAATTGATTTTTTTTTTTAATTCCCTGACTTAGACCTACATGTAGTCTGGACTTAAAAAGGAGCCAATGTATAAGGTTTTCTGACTTTTCTCTGATTTCCCAGATAAATGTTGGTGGGAGTTCTACACACATGGGCAAACCTAGAAAATGAAGGAGTCTGGGGCCCATTTCTCGAAACCAACGACAAGACAGTCATAACTTTATCCGCCAACTACGGAGATGTCTCTGATCTTTCTAAACCGTTTCACGAAGAGCTCACTAGCTAGACATCTCGTGAAATCGATACTATCGGAGAGAAGAGGAGACAAGACATAGCCTAGCCCTTAGCCGCAATTCCAACGGATAAAAAAAAGGAATTTTAGGAAAACTGCAATTATTTAAATGAATTAGGAACAAAAATGAATGAATATAGTACCAGGGAATAAGAGAAGCAATATACAATGTGTATGCTAAGCCTCTAAAACAGACGTACAAGATCATCTTGTTAAATTTCAAGTCGGATCTTTTGCTTTTGGGGCAGCCAAAATTCAACGGAAAGACCCATTTTAACCTGGAAATTACCATTTTGGAGGAAATAGAGGCGTAGATGAGGCACATTAATTTGAATTAAAACCTTTCAATCTTTCCTCGGGTATTATAAATTACTACTAGGTCTAGTAGTGAACTAGGGGTCTAGATAAAGATAGAAGTCTAGATCTAGACTAATCTTAAATCTAGTCTTGTCAATGGGCTTGGGTGGATAGGCAATGGTTTTGCTTTGCCTTGGATTCAAGTCGAAGCTGAAGTTGGACTTGGACTTGGATGGACTTGGCTTGCCGCTTAGCACAGTGTGAAAGTGTCAGTCTTTGGTACTTTAACAATTAGGATCTCAGCTCAGACAACTCATATAAAAATGAAATTAATACAAAGATCTAAATAAATAAAATGGGCGTTAGTCTCCCAATCGCGTAGTAGCGCGTTTAGCGGGTACCAGTGGCGCGGGGGTGGCCGGTGGAGACCGGTGAGGAAGGGACAGTGGCCGGGAAAATTGTAACAAATTACAGATTCTGTAACTTAATTTACTTACCAGCAGTGTACAAGTTTGCTAATTCCTCTTTGGCTCCTACATGACTTGGATTCCATCGAGGATTTGGATCCCTCTGAGAAGACGATTCATTGCCATCCTCCGGCGCAGAATAGGCCGGAATTTGGCTTGTTACTACGTTTTCCTCCTTCAGCCCTATCGCCATCGTTGCGAAGCTAGTTATAGAATTGATAATGGAAACTACGTGCGAACATAGCGATGGGAGGGGCCAGGATGGGCTGATTCAATCCTTATATTTACCGCCTTGCTGATTGGTCGATATCCACTATAGAATGACGTATTGTCAAATCATATGTTGTGTTTCATACGCGCTTCAGCTGATTGTATAATTAGAAAATTGGAGTATTTTTCTTAGAAGAGATGAGCTCCCTCCTCAAAGATTATGAGGAATTTCTGGAAGAAGAGAAAGGAGATGTGGTCACTATTTCATGGGAGAAGAGAAAACAATAATGAGAATTGTGGTCTCTACTCAGTTCTGAGAGGAATGAATTAGAAAATGATGATGAGTGTACCTGATCACATTATCTTATGGGGAAATAAAAAGAGAATGATGATGAGAGAAAGAGAGAGAGGGATATATATATATATATATATATATATATATATATATATATATATATATATGGTAGTATATCAGGCACGTAGGTGGGGGGAGGGGGTATGGGGCGGTCGCCCCCCCCCCCAAAAAAAAAAAAGAGAGAGAGAGAGAATAGAAAAAAGAGAGCTAGAAGACAGAACAAAGTAGATCTAGGACGTAGGAAGAAAAAGGATCGAGCAGACATTGAAACAATTTTTACAATTAAACAATCAGACAATTAAGGATTAAGAGTCTAGAACGGTACAACGAATCGTATTCTTTCTCTAATAATGTAATGAAACGTCAAAGCTTCCGCGCTTTGGGCGAGAGGGAACCCCCCCTATCTGCACCAAACCCCCTAGGGAGCGCTATTCGCGTGCTAATTGCCGCCCGGCACCTAAAATAAAATCATTGCTACGCGTTTGTAGTATATTAAATGGTACCTATAATTTCCGGGATAAGGAAATTAGAGAATGAAAAGGAATATCTTTAGCTACTTCCTGTGAGGAGAGAAGAGAATGAAAGGAATGTGTTCATTCTTTCTGGGAAAGTGGACATGGACCTATAACGGGAGACCCGGATGAGCCGCATAGACTTGAAGAAATTGCAAAACTAACAAATATGATAAGGAAATTAGAGAAGGGGCGGGTAAAACTTAAAAAAAGACAGGAAAATATCCTAAAGGCCTCAATAATTAACACGGCAACTTTTCGTCTTTTATTTACAATAACATGTAAAGCATTTCCACTTGAAATGTCTCAAACGGGCGTGATTTTTGTTTTCTCTTAAAGGGAAATCCAATCTCGATAGCAAGCTTCTTGGAAGTTTGAATGAAATCGGACAAAAATGAGAAAGTTAAGTTTCTTTAAAAAGTAAAAGTTGTATAAATCACTTTTAATACGTCTTTCTATTTGGATGAATGTGTCATGTCTCTGTGATGTAGTTGCAGACAAATTTACCATTTCTTCCAAGTGAGACTGATAATGACTAAAATTTCAATTCTTCCCCAAAACGTATGACTGGCTTCCTGTAGCCACTTTGCAAACATTGGTTCATTTTTCCACGAATTTAACAAGAATATTGCACGCTTCCCTCAATATAATTATATTACAAGTATTTGTAATTAAATTTGTAAAATTCACACATGGACAATAACATGAAATTACGACAAGATGACAAAGCGCCTGAATAAAAGTTAACTGAGATCGAAGGATCATGAAAGAAAATTGTGCCGATACCCGGGTCAAGTGTACACATGATGCTTGAATATCACCCAAATGAATTAACACCAAACAATTGAATTTTCCATATATCTAATTTTAATCAATTCAGTAATACATTCAACAACACTTTTTAATGGAATACTATCTTTAAGAAAATACGAGACTATTTTGTTCTTCAATATTTTGTTCTCACAAATAATTGGCATAACTAGTATTACATCATGTAATCATGTCTCCCAATGTTAAGATTTATTATCAAAGCTAGCATTAAAACTACCAGAGTCTTTTAAACTTAATCATATATTTATTTATAAGAACTTCTTTGATTTTCCAATGCAAGGGTATATTACTTTTACTAAAAACAAAATGCATTCATTAATAGTAGACATAACAAAATGCAATATTTTGTTTATTACTTCATATTTTTCTTTTCCTTATAAATTGTGCTATTCAGTAGAATAACTTTTTCAGCAGTGTAATTACAACTGTAAATCACTGTTTTGGTAAATCACCATTTTTAATGTAACGTGTGATCTGAATTAACTTTTTTACTTTTTGTAAATTTACTTTGTTTCAGTCTCACTGCGGATATTTTCGGCATTTGTTATCAACAGGCCTGAGAAAGTAAATGATGATGCACATCTCTTTTTTTCCTTCAAGTTAGTCATATTAATCCAGTAGTGTCTAGATTAGAGACAAGTGACTAAATCATGAGAATAGGTATGTAACTTCAAATAAAGAAGAAGATATTGTTCTGTGATAAAGATTATTTTGTGTTAAGTCTAATTTCAGATAAATATCTACCAAAGATTATTGCTGCAACACGGTAAAAGAAAAAACAAACACACAATCAAACATCTGATCTAAAATATGTTCATACTGGCACTGAACAAAAAAAAAAAAAAAAACAAAAAAAACTATTGCACACAACTATACATGACGACTAATTATTTCAGAACCTTCAAACTAGGTTTCATGTCACAACAAAAACAAAACATTCTAGTACTTAACTTTCTCAGCAAAAATCTGGCAATATTTCACACTAACAGAGTAATGTAATAAAATGTAGCATCTATTTGATTAATAACATAAGTGAAGATTTCTGGATTGCATTTTTGCATAAAAATCTACATTGTTCAATAACAATAATTTTCTACTAAAAAGTAGGGAAAATTCAATGTTGAGGCTTCATAGCCTCATTCGGGGGGAGATATGTTTACTATAAATATATAAACATCCTTTTGTGTAATAGCTGTTTTAAACCCTTTTTCTTTAGAATGCAAATGAACACTTCTAGTTTCAATTTATATGTACATGAAATTTACAATCACGAAGCACACTTCAAAAGGTATATATTACACAAACATTTGTATTTTAAAAATTGAGCTGAATAATTTGGACGGTAAAATCAAATACTTGTGTGCAATATATATGTATATTACAAGTATGTTATCGCTTCATGTGACAGAAAATATCTCTAGGAAGGAATTTGAATATGATTAGACATTTTAAAGATCCAAAGTGGATTGAGATTTTGAATAAACATACCGGTAGTAACATGTTTAATATGACAGAAAATGCAGGGAATTAATTTGTAAGTTTTCAAGAGACCTTTGAGAATACCCATTAGCAAGAATTCACATTTTAAAATTTAGAATCTTTACCCTAAATGCACCCCCACCAACAGGAAAAAAAAAAGAAAAGAAAATGGAGAAAAAGTAATCTTGTCAAAATGTGTGGTGGGCTCACAATTTAAAATTTGTAATCTGATTTGATTGAATCTGATTTTGGGAGGGGGGGGGGGGGGGCTATCTAAAAACAAACAAATGTAATCGTATATAAATAACAGCAGATGAAAAACCAATTTTAAAGTATAAGAAAGCTATCATGGTACATGCATACACAGCCTACTCACAACTCTTTACAAATTTGATGATAGACATATTACAGTGGTTGTCAATGTTGAACACACTAATGTGAAGTGTTCTTTTACATAATCACATCTCACTTCTCATTCCTGATTGCTCGTGATAACTACCCGGACTATTAACATATTTCATACAATGTCTGTTAAAAAGGCAAAAAATGTATCATAAAAAACATATAACAAACTAACAATACTAAAAGGTTGTAGATTTGGAATGCTTATCAGTCAAGGTGATACCATTTTGAAAGACATAAATACAACTCATACAAGAAAGGCAATTTCAGTATGTATACACTCTTGAAAATAACACAATTGAAAGCACACTAGAATATCACTTGTTTCTTCTCCAATGTGAGCAAGTTACCTATATAATTCTGATCTTTTAAATAAAAGAATATTGGTCTTCTCTAAGACAATTAAAAGGTACATGTAAATCATGGTGTTGCTTCAGGCCATTTGATGACAGTATCAGGTTCATCAATATAATACATGGCAGTCAGAGACCGTATATAACATGTGGTTTCAGAACACAATGATAACTAAAAAAGTTTCCAAATAGCATAAAAAGCGGATGATCATTTTCAGAAATTCCTTTTTGTTACAGAATGTTGTACTTAACATGTTAAAAATTCCATAGTTGTACAACATGGAATGTTTTAGTTTCCTGTTCTTTTCCTAAAGGGATGGGTCGTAAGCATGCTTTCACCCTCTTACACATCGTCACATGTAGGATTATTCGCATGCAATAAGTAGACAAAATAATTAACATATCTGTTTCTCTACTCCTGTTACTCTGATCAACACCATGATTTACTGTACCTCTCAAATACTGTTAACAAGTACATCAATGCTAATTCCAACCAAGCAAATTAAAGGGCAGAGATATTTTAATTGTACCTGCCCTTCATAATTCAGAACATACAAGGAACACCAACACAATTTGTCTTTTGAAATAAGCTGGATTCATTTCCTACTGAAAAGGGCCACTCAAGATTCCATTGTTTCCTTCCGTATTTTCTCAACACTGGTCATGCGGACAAAGACGGTGCAATGCATCATGGGCTTCATGAACTCCGTTGTCCCTGGCGAATTCCAGAAGAGTTCTTGCTTCCCTGTCGAAAAGACAAATTAAGGTTCATTGATTGAGACACTCATGGTAAACATAATGTCTGAAATTACAAAACAAATCCAGATATGGTGGTATCTTAGCTTTAAAAAATGTTCTCAATGTTTTATAAATCTTTATTTGAATTGATTGCAAAATGACTAAATTATGAATATACCAGCAATTTTGACTAAAAACTTTGTTGCCCAGTTAGTTTAGATAGATTTCATGACATCATTTTGCCAATGTATTTGGAATCCCACTTTCAAGATGACTGATATTTTGGGGAAAATAAAATATGTAGTACCAGTTGGGAAGTCATTTGCAAAAATCATACTCTATCTGCTATATAATAATTCACTCTTAGTGAAACTATTTGGAATCAAAAGAAAATGTTTCCTTCACCCTTGCAAAGCAAAGAATAATGTAGTACAGTACTTTGTAAATATCTTTGTGATGTCGAACTTACTCTTTGTCCTTGACATCTGTATTGTAACCATGGAGATGACCTATGGCCAGGTTATGAGATGCATGGGGATGACCCTTGTCAGCTGCAACCCTGACAAATATGAAACATGACTTAAAATGTCAAATGATCAATAAATCATATTAAAGTGTCGACTGAAACATTTACAAACATCAGATGAGAAATAATTGTTTATGAAGTTGTGTATTTTCAGTCAATATTTGAATTTGAGATAAACATTTCCAAGTCATGTATATAAAACTATATACACGCTAATACAGGAATTGAAGTCAATTTGTTGTTTTATTTATGAGAATGTCATAAAATTCTAATAACCTACAACAACATAAAAGAATAAAAGCTGTTTCTATCCATACACAATATTAATTTCCATAGATCTATGCATGCCATGTACAATAGTTGTCTACAATAACATACACTTGTACATACATGTATAGCTATCAAACAAGCATTAGACAATTTGTTAACAACCATTAGACAATTTGTTACCTGACCAGTAAGCTACTTTCGTCAATTGCACTCAGACCAACATTTTAGTTGTAAAATCAATTTTAAATTCATTTCTATTGCTAATTAGCTTTGTACAATTGCGATATATTTGTAGATATGTTTCTATTTTGTGTGTTCTCTGTTTTCTATATTTTATATAATCAGTGTCTTTTGTGTTTTTTATGGATTTGAATTGAAATAAAACTTGGAACTTGAATAAAGATTTTGAGCCGAAAATGTGCTATATGTGCTTTAAAATATGTTTGAAAAAAGATGGATGTAACGTGAGAGCAGAGATGTAATAATACCTGAACCATTGCATAGCCTTGTCCTCATCCTGCTTGGTTCCTTCACCCCAGAGTAACCTTTGACCCACCATGTGTGCGGCATGAGCTTGGCCCATGTGGGCGTAGGCGTGCGTGACATGAAACTGCAGGTTGTCCATGTAGTAGTAGGAGTAGTAGATGAAGCATGCTACAAGTACTACAGCCAGGATCTAGAAAGTGAGATATGATGGAAAGTTGGAAAGGGTCTTTTTTCCGGATTTTCTTTCGCCGAAATTGAGCTCTGTGTTGAAATTCTTGCAGCCAAATTTTAAACTGTTACTGTCGACATATGACATTATTTTCCTTCATGTGCAGTAACAGTTTAAAATATGGCTGCGCGGCTGCAAAAAAGACCCTTAACTGCATCATACAGTCAATCTATTAAGTGGAACCGATGTATACTTAGCCTACAACAAGCATAGTACATGTAGTCTTAGACCGAAAGCTTCAGTCTCTCTAATCGTCGGTTGTTCCACTGAGACTACGTCTGGCTCCACTAGACCTCCGATTATAGAGACTGAAGTCTGGGGACCTCTTTCTGTGAGGCACTGTACGGAACAAATGGTTCGGTTCGACCGGACCGCGATGAATGAGATATGCAACGAGATTTTCACTCTTTACATCCTCATACATGCTGCAATATGACAATAATTTAGAGTCTAATTAAAAATAACATATATATAGCTTATTTGACTTACGATAGCTTGCTCATTTAGATCCTAAATTAATGATTAATCCGAGAAAGTCTCGTCGTCAACATTATCCGTCTTGGTTTTAGTTGATGAATATTCATTTTTTCTTTTCGAACGTCCAATAGCTACCGTAGCTACGTACGAGTCGGCCCAGCTTGACCAACGAACTCCCACGAAACGAGTGCTCTGATTGGCCATTTGGCTATGTTTTGGTAGGTGGACCCGGAAATATATCGGCCGCCGGGTAATATTTCGAATGCATGAACGTACCGTTTCACAGTTCGGAAATACAAATTGGATAATTCATATAAGTAAGTCCGTAAATTATACATTTAATATTAAGTTATCAAATTTTGATAACTGTAATTAGGACAAATGACATACCGACCTAATTTACATCTGATTTAGAAATCAGAAAATTAGATCTAAATAAAGAAAATCGGGGAGAAAATGTTTTGACACAAAAAGCTGCCATTGTTGGCTATAGCTACCCCCACGGTACGAGATCTCTGGGTTGCCATCTGTATTGGGGAATGACAACAAATGTCAGTTTTATTAAAGAAATGACCCAAATCAGATGGTTATTGCTGTCTAATGTAGTCTAGGCATAATTTTCAAATATAAATGCATCGGTTATGAATCTGCTAAAATTGAGTATTTTGGGCAAAGTTTAGTGGCCAAATATGGCACAACGTTTGCACCATGAGACCCTTTGGTCGGCTTCTGTCTCTAAAGAGAGGAGCCGACCCAACCCACTTAAGAGGCTAACGAACGAAAGAAACATAAATTTTCAGTCTACTCTCTGCCTCTGGTCAGAGTCAGACTGTCCATTGTCATGATACATGTAATGATTATATTTATAAAGTTAACAAACAGATGAATGTGCAGAAACATTGCATTTTATTTAACACCATTCTCAACTTAATACATTGCGCATGAAACTGGTATTGGGAGATATTGTATGATTGTACAACATTGCAGTTGATGAAAGTGCAAGCTCACCTCCATTATTGTGGTGAGCCAACTGTCTGGTTTTTTCCGACGAGCGAGATAAACCTTCCCTGCATACGGCAATGAAGGGTCTTCCTCGGGTCCCGACTCATCCGTAAAAGCATATTTTTCTTCTTCTTCCTTATAATTATCCTTTCGACCGTCATCATCATACTTGTCGGCCACGAAAACGTTCCTCGCCCGGAGACCGTCTTCAAATACCTGCGAAAATTCTGCCATATTGTTTACGAAGCGCTTGGCAATCAATATTTGTGTTAGTCTTTATTACAGCCGTTTGTAAAAGAAAACCAGGAGCGAAGTCGAGTCTGAATGTTTAGAGAAGCCGAGGCAAAAGTGGTCTTAAAAAGGAACTATTGAACAAACTCAACTTTGGTAAGTATTTCAATAACTAATCAAGCAATAATGCAAGCTTACCCTTACGGTAAACGTTAGAATTACCTCATTTTAAACCAGTGCTGCAAGTCCAAGTGATAAGTGTGCCCCACATACTAAAATGGGTGTTAGTGTTATTGTCTTTTATTCAATTAAGTTTTTGATCCAAATAGGCTAATCTTTTAGCATATCTTTTCTCAACCCAAGCAAGAGAAAAATTTGTGTATGAAATGTGAAATAAAAACTATAGATTTTTAGGCTACTTATGATGTTTAGGAAGAAGGAGTAATAATCAAGAAGAAGAAAAGAAAGAAAGAAAGGGGGGGGGGGGGAAAGATTAGAACTAGACCTCTAGAACAGTAGATCTAGAAGAAAGAAAGAAATTAAAAGAAAGGAACTGAGATTGAGAAAGTATGTTGGATGAACCTAATGTACATTCGTAGCATTATTAATGGGTATGTTTTTTCTTGAATTTTTCAACTAGTTGCCTTGAGTTGTAGTTGGTATGTCATGACCAAAATTGACACAGCTACACATGGATGGTTCTGTGAGTGAGTTACATTAACTTTGTTGTATGAACATTGTAGCTACAGTATAGTCCTGATCAAGTATATTAATACTTGCATTTAATTTCTCTTTTCAGAAAATGGCAAGCGCAAATCTCAAAGCATTTGTTTCGGAGAAGGAACTGACGGAGGAGCGAGAACGTAGGCAAGAAGAATGGGATAAAGTTCGTACTGCAGACCAACCAGAAGGTTTGGATCAATTGCTTCTTATTTCTGTTTTCTCCAGACAACTAAAGCTCTTTTCTCATCAGCTTACTAACTTCTGGATTTACATGTATACTCAGCATTATAGAAAAGATTTTGGATGTGTGAATTTGTGTATTTTTCAATAAAGACCTTTTTTCTAATGAACTAAATGTTATTTTTCTTGTATGATCTGTAAACAAAAGTCTTGATGCATTAATATCAATGCAATGTTAAAAGGAAGAAGAAGGAGAGAAAAAAGGAAGTGGTCAATATTGCATCTGGGAAAGTATAAAACTGGTTGTCAAAGTAATAACCTATTTTTATTTTTAAAAAGAAGTTATTTGTCTCGGATAATCTGTAACAAAAACAAATCTGTAGGCATTGCTAACAACGCAATGTTAAAAAGAAGAAGAAGGAAAAAAAAAAAATGAAAATGGTCAATATTGCATCTGGGAAAGTACAATAAGTTGTCAGAGTAATAACCTACTTTTGTAAAATTGGTATGGTTATAACATGCTTTATCCAGCTTAGCATTTTTCTGACTAGCATAAAGTTTATGACTGCATTTACATAGATCATCATTTTATTTTTATATCTTTGATGCAACATTTTTCTCTTGAATCCTTTCACAGAGTGTCCTGAAGAGGAGTATGACCCTCGATCTCTTTTTGAAAAGCTGCAAGATCAGAAGGAGAAGAAGCAGTCAGATTTTGAAGAACAGTTCAAATTTAGTGAGTATTTCTTTTTACGTGTACATAAGAATTTGTGCAATTACTACTACAGTGTATTATTATTGTTTAATCTTTTGTCGGTACTTTGTGTATTGTCCAAATTGAATGTATCATTTAAAGGTACTTTGTCCTGTTTGCAGGCCGAAAAAATATTAGGACACTGCTAACGTTTAAATTTCACCGATAGGACATACGTGACATATTCATAATTCCTGCAAAGTTCTACAGAATTTGATGTTGGCTGCAAATGGGACATATTATCTTTAATATGATTTTACAACTTCAGTAAGAAAAAAAACCATAATTTTAGAGGAGGATGTTTGTTTAAGTGTGTTTCAGATTAGGTTTTAATTTTAAATTTTGTATGAAAAGGAATGATCCATATCTTTTCCACCATAGATAGTCTACCAAATCAGCGAATGGTGTTATATTTATAAGCATAATACATATACATAATACATATATTCCCCCTTAAAGTTTCATAAATGCATGGAGGATGAGAAGGAAAATATCAGAATGCATGGCAAAAATTCGTTTAGTAAATAATAGTTCACCATCCGTCTCTCCCCTTCCTCCTCCCTCCACTTCCCTCTCTCTCTACTTCCCTCTCTCTCTTTCAGAAAACATGATAAGAGGAGTTGACGATGGGGAATCCAAGTTCTTGAATGATGTTGCAGAGAGACAGATGAAGATTCAAGCTCAGAGAATGACAGAAGAGAAACAAATAATCAATGAATACAAGATATCCTTTACTGTGATGGTTTCATATTCTTCATTGTGACTTTCCCTCTCACATTATTATCTTGCTTTTCATCAGTTTTACCAATATATTTATTCAATCTTTTCAAAAGACAAAGCATTGAAGTTGAATAATCATTTTGTTTGCACTATTACTCCACTCAAATTACAGACGGGAAATGTTATACAGAATGAAAATTTGGGATGCGATGTGATAGGATTCAGTACAATTGGTGGATTCATAGTAAATTGCAAAATATCTTGTATAAGTTTATTTATGCTTTGCACTTCTAACAAAAATATTTTGTAGGGTTTATTGTATTGTGATGTGATTAAAGAATTATCTTTCATTTCTGTTTTTGTTAACCTATTTAGAGAAATAACAGTCGCATGAGTCTGGATTTCCCCATTTTTTTCAATGCCTTAGTCTCCTTTATTTATTAATTTAAAAAAATACATTTCTTCTCCCCAAAGCAATAAAGTTGTGATTCCTGCAGGCTCTTCCAATATGAACATCTCCCTCATTTTCCATCTTTCTTGCCTTCTGAAGATATGGAGAAAAAAAGAAGATGCTTTTGACCTTGACTTAAACAAAATACGAATCAGTTGTGAACAATACAGTACCTGTTGCAAGCCAGAGCACCAAAGTGCCGTCTCAGCCAGCTGAGAAGAAAGTAGCGACTGGAAGCAAGAGAAGTCAAGCAGCTCTCCTGGCTGGTGCAGTCAAGAGAAAGAGGTAACAGTTCATCGGCCGGCTGGCAGAAGGGCGTTAGCACGCGAGCGAGTCGAAAACTACTATTCGAATCATTCGCATTTAAAGATTTGTTTTATATTTAAACTGCTTTCCGTCCCAAAAATTGGTTTAAAACTTAAAAGACTAATAGAAATGTTATAGTGGAACACGGCCACAATTTTTTTGTGGAAATAAGTCAGTTTTATAAAAGTTTGAGGCGATTTAGTTTCATTTTTTATCTGAAATTCGAGCTAACGCCCTTCTGCCACCCAGGCGACGAGTTCTTCTAGTTGTCACACTTACATTCAATCCAGGGTATCCGGGCTAACTCAGACCCGGGGACAACTTGGCCCCGCTGCAAAAAACAGTCATTTTTTGTCATTTTACCCTGACCCTAACCTTAATTCTAACCCTAAACCTGCAAAAATTGATAGTTTTACTGCGGGCCGAGTTTTCCCCGATTCTGAGTTAGCCCGACTCCAATACAGGCTATTACGTTACTCTTGCTGTAACCCTGCGGCCATAATACAGCACTCAAGCACCCAAGGAATTACTTCCCACTGGGAATTCATTTATATCATCTTGGTCATGAAAAGCAAATGTAAACTAACTTCATGCCAAAGATGTTAGTGCCTTGGCAGGAATTGATAGTTTTGATCCTTCTTGCATCCTCATGATCCTTAATCTGGTGAATTGATCAACAGTTGTAAGATGTTATGGATTTGAATTGTTTATTTATGTTTCATTTTCGTTACCCCTAGGAATAAATCAAGAGTAGAGACCTCAGGGTCAGGGACACAGTGATTTAGTTCGTTCTTCCCCTCCTCAGCACAAATGATACCAAACCATTGATAATTATATCAATTTTTTACCTGAAGATGTAAATTGTGTTTAGATCTCAAGGATCTTCATGGCTTGCTCTTACACTAAATGTTTTTATTAATTTCATCATCATCATCATTTATTAAAGTCATAAATTTCCCTTATGGCAGATTAGCCTTGTGCTAAATGATCAAATAAAGTCTTCTACTACTACCTTTACTACTTATCTTATCTTTTTCTGAAATGTTTAGTCTTCCTTTCCCTCTTATGCCATCCACTTTCAGATCCTGTGCTCTTTTATACAAATTCATCATCTTCCCTTCACACCACATGACCTATCCATCTCAATCCACTTTTCTCCACCAGTATCACAGTGAAAAAGTTTGCTTTTCCCCAACTAGGAATTTGGAATTTGAAATTAGACCATAGTAGAAAATGGTAAAATGTCAAATGGTGAACCAAAAAGTGTAATCACAAATTCGTATCCTTTTTGCAGGCCCAGTTCTACAGCTGATTCTAAATCCACTGAAAATCTTCCATCTGCAAGCCCACAGAACCCTGGATCTTCAAAAGCAACAAGAACCTCCTCTGACAATGGTTCTCATGATCAAGACGAGCATTCTTCAAACGAGAGCAGCGGTGAAGCCGTAGAAGGCCAGGGAGTGCAATGTATTGCAGTTCTTCCAGGAATTGGGTCGTATTCAAACAGCAGTGAGGATTCCGACTCGGACACCAGTGATTCGGAAGGCGTAGAGCTCATAAAGACCGTGTTCCACAAAACTGGACCCAGACATAAGTGTGACTCAAAGTGATCATGTGTTAGAACATCAGACTGATTCGTAATTCATAACACTTTGAGGATGAGGCATGTTTTACCATCATTGATGCTGACAAAGTTCATACAGTGAACAAAAAAAACTAAACTGAAGCAGAGTAATTCATCACTGGCATAGCTGCAAAAGAAGTCTGGAAAACTGGAAAGGAGCTCTGGTAAAAAACATTGAAATACATGAATCTCTCATTTTCAAAAACTTCATGTAATTAAAAAAAATGAGCTCTTATGTACAACAACAAAATACAAGCAAAATTAAATTTCATTC